AACGTACGTGACCGGCGCACCTCCAGCTCCGCGCGTTGAATAAACTGCAAAAAGGCGTGAAAAACATAACGTCACTAGTGACGCCACCAGTTATGTCCCAAAGGTGTTTCACATGGGGTGAACGGTCTACCTTGCGTGTGGTTACTATAATAACTGGCTACTCGGTAGGGTACTGAACTCTTCAAAAAAAAACTTTTCTTTACCCCGGCAACTCAAGTTATTGCTATTGCCGATAGAAGAATAACGAATGTCTGAACCCTACGGAAATTCTAAGAAAGGAACTCTATGGGGAAATATATGTAACTGCATCCATCGTAAAAAAAAGACAGTGTTTTGACCGCCTCCTGTTGATCTTATTCTTATCTTGTGGAGGTTTTGAATTTGTTGAAATTTTGAGGGAAAAAAATGAATTGGATTTGTCCTACATATATTGCTTACAATTCGGCTGGTTAGTTCAAGTACACGCACACGCTACTCTCCGCGTTTTAAAGAAAATTTTACGCTGAGTAATGTGACGTTTACGGCAAAAGAAATACGTGATCAAACACAAACAAACAAATAAACAATTCAAAACAACAAAACAAAAAGAAACAATCCTGGTTCCAAAAGATGCTCAAAGTATAACTTCGTTCTACAAATTTGGGGTCCACATTTCCCTGCCCCTGCCTACACTAGTCTGACAGTTATATATGATTTTATAATTCTGGAAGCACTCGTTCAGGCTGTCCGATCTCCAAGACTGATAAGGAATAGCGAACTGACAACTTCCAACAAATACATAATCGTTTGAAGACATTCTTTAGATACCTGAAAGGCAAAATTCAGAGGTAACGGGGACAGGTAAAATGTCAAACTGTGGACTCTAATTTTAAAGAATAATCCACAAAGATTGTCTAACAGCCAGGTACATTACAACTAAAACCATTCCCAATTAACTACATTCTGAAGGGAAAAATACAGTCCCTATCAATTGAGAGTCAAAATATTATCCAGCTGATGACTACTTCACAATTAAATTCACGCACCATTTCTTCCAGTCAATCAAGCAAGTGTACTTACCTACTCTGACAGCCCTATCGCGACATTATGATGTACGTGTTCTTTACAGCCTTACTTCCAAATAACAACTGCATGCATTGGCTCGCTATACTACAACCAACGAACTGACGCGCGCGCAGTCTCCAATTTCTCCACCCAAGACGTAGCAGGAGATGATGACGATGATGACAAAGTTTCCTCATCCATCGCCGCCTGGGAGCCAGTGTCAACAGACAGTTGGAATGCTGAGCAAACAAAAGACTGCACCGGGCCAACCAGACAGTAATCAGTCAAAAGCCTTGGGCTAAATGAGATGATTTGAAACAAACTAATAACATCAATCCAAGACGATCGTGTCATAATGACTGGCTCAGCCATCGGGCTGACGGGCGTGTATAATGAAGCAAAGCGTGTACAGTTGTACGTGTACCAGACCCAATTTCACTGAGCTCTACATGGTTATCAGCAAAAACGTGCCCGTGTGCATACCTATATGAACCTGCACCTTAAGAGACCCGTACATTAGTGTTTTATGGGCATCTAAGACATTTTGGTGACCAATGCACACGTACCGTCATTGTCATTCTTTGTATAAATTCCGGGCGAAAGGTATTTTATATATATTTTACTCTAATGTAAATTTCAATATTCATTAACAAAAACTGTGATAATAATTATGAGGTAGAAGCTTAGGCCAAAAAAAAGGCTCCGGTTTCTGGTATGGAGCTTGCCCAAAAAGTGGTGCGGCGACGCTGCTTTTTTTTTTTTTTACCTGACTTTTTTGCTTCAAATGTCGGCTGATGACTGCAAATGGTGCCCGACTAAACTTAGTGCAAATATATGGGAGTCCAGAGAGGCCACATAAAGCTTATTCTCGATCATAACCCCATCTAAAGACACGTTAAAATTGTGCAGCAGCAGGATTCCAGTCAAACCAGTGAGTTTTTCATTGGAAAAAAAAACTTTTTCATTTTGCCGACACGCATGGCTACGGCCGGCGACGCGCGCGCATACCAGAAACCGGAGACTTTTTTTTTTTGCCTTAAGAGTATTACAGCAGTTTTCAGAATAACATTTTAGCAAATTTCACGTTTTTGTTTCAGTACATGATATAGGTTTTGAGGTTTTTGTCAACAGAAATTCGTGAAATTTTAGCTCCATGTTTCGAGTTCGACTTAAAAGTTTCTTGTGCTTTGGGGTTCGAGATCTTATCTACATAAAATGCAAAGTATGGTTTCTCTGAATGACTGTTAGCTGCATGTGCCGGAGTACGTGGATAACACGGAAATTGTCTGGTTTTCGTGAATTTATACCAGCCTTCAGAAAGCTCCGAAGAAGAATGTGTCTTTGGGTATGAAGGCGTTGATTAGCACAACTGTGCCCGATAGGGGGCGTTTCGGGTACCATATTTCACAGCAAGAAGGCCTAATTGGGCCGTATCGAAATCTCTTGTCTATGGCTATGTTCCAGGTACTTGTCCGTTGCAACCTACGACCGACGACAGACGTAGCTGTAGCTCTGGATTTCCGTTTCGACCGCGACAACCTATGAAGAAGTTCTCGTTGTAATGTACATGTACATCTGTTGAGAAACAAACATGGTTCATAGAAAAGTCTGTGCCCTTTGTTGGCATCCAATACTTAAAAGATCGCACGAGGGTTTTAAAAAAGAAAGTGGTAAACAGCACTTCATTACATAATTCAATTTTGGACGCACGTGCACGATGGAATTTCGCCGCACGAAATTCAGTAAAGGAAAATTGTCTCCATTCTCGAACAGACAATGTCGAGCGTACCTCTCCCTACGGAACGTGATCTGACAGAGGAAAGACCTCTCCTTGACAAGACGCTCGGATCGTGGAATTGCAGAGTGCTGATTGAAATTTCCCAGGGTCATAGGGAATCTCTCTGACTGATGTAACTAATTTGAAGAATTAAGGCCGCATCACGAGAGTGCGAAGTGAATTTCACGTTCAGAAAAATGATCGCCGGCGTTGTAAATGTCCCCAACTTTTGTTATTTTCCCAGAGCTTATGTTTACCCGACGTTAGTCGAACCTTTCAAATATGATTTCACTTTGGTTGTCGAAAGCCACCTGGCTGAAACTGCTGATGAAGTTGATAAAAATGGTGTTGATAATTCTGTCACTTTTGTTTATCTCTTCGCTGATTACGACAATTGTTTTTATGATGCATTGCTAATGAGTCACAGCCTTTTAGAAAGGAGCAAACAAATTGTCTTACCAAAAAAAATATGACTATCTATCTGTAATTTTGTTGCTAGACAACTATTGTTTTGTTAATCATTCACAAACGACAAGTGAACATGGAAAAAGACTTAAACAGGAGGATCAATTTCTCACTCAATGGTAACCTCAATACATCCCTTAGCTTCAGGCGAAGTACTTGAACCGTCTGGAAGGACGACAAACAATCTCTTCGATACTTAAACAAAATTACGCACAACACGGTGCATTTTGTAATGCCTTGCATTATAAGGAGATTGTCTACAGTAATGCAATCGCAATTATCTTATCGTGAAGTACTGTGTATACTCCGTGCTTTGTTTATAATCCTTTGTCTTACGGAGGCTGATGCGTATGGATCCCTCTCATGAGCGAAACCCAAGCATCTTATAACATCCCGCATTATACTATTTATAAACCTTATATAATACATATATAATTATAATAGCAAACGATAAGAAGGAACAAATCGCAAATCTTGGGGGAAAAACCACTGCGCAATGCCAAGTTGTATGGGGGGGGGGAGTGCGTAATGTAATGCACATGAGATGCATTGAATGCTTGTTATTGAAATTGTTGGTACGTAGTTCAGACAATTTTTGCTAATCTGGTGTTATTAAAAGGCACGTAGGAATATTGGTAAAAACGGGTAAAAGAACCTACCCATTTAATGAGAAAAATCTTACTTGAATTAAGGATAGGGATGGCACCTTGAAAATACCCTATGAAATTATTCCGCCTGAAATGGTATCGTTCGGAAGAAAACAATAATTGAAGATGGTTTTAAAAAAAGTGTGCCGGCGGGCACACTTTCTTGTACGTGATTTTGCAGCGGAATCCCGTTACGAGACCCCAAAACATGTGCAAATATTTTCTGTTTTCTCAAAATGTATAGTTTACATTTTCACAGGCTTATTGTAAATGCAGCATACGAGCAATGTTGTTGCTTCAAACGAAAACAATTAAATGCACAAAAGCAACTGATCTTATTTAAATTCAAAAGAAGAATCATACAGACAGATTTAAATCGCGATTTATATTCTTTCCATAACTGGCTAACTCCAAACCATGCAAGCGTATTATTGATATCAAATAAGTGATCAAATTAACATAGAATGCACCGAGCAGGTATGCAATCCTCACGCTTCGATTTCGAAATGCAATTTATCAGTCAGTGTCAAAATTATCAAGTAAAGGACGATCTCGAAACTAGATAAAACACAAAGAACTACCGCCACGGGATATTGGAAATTTCAAGAGAACTTTATCAAATTAAGCTTTAACTGTGTGAAACCACGAGAGCGCGACTTTAATGTCGGTTCACTATACCACGAAAATGACTGGCGGTAATTATTCACTTAAATAAATAAAAGGATGGTAAAATCAATTTTATTTTCCACAGTTCCTATTCTCAATGTCAAGGTACTGCGAGCACAGTTCGTTGATGTTATCAAAGTCCCCGTGACATTGGTACACTGTGATTAAATTAAAGAATTATTTTACTTTTTTTTTCTCAAAAACTTGGTCTCAGAATATTACTTATATTAGAAATGAAACAAATCCTGCTATGCACAGCTGAGCCAACGCAGAATTCTCGAAATGTTTGAAATTCAGTGTTTTCGCCTTGAATGTCTGTTCTTGCCTAGAGCTATTTTGAAGGTTCGCCAACTCTTCAAACAAAACGAGAAATTGAATATTCAATTATTTTCCCATCTTACCTCCGCACTGCTCAGATCGTCTCAAATTCCTTGCGCTCCTGCCTCCATCATCTGCCGACTGTTCTTGTTCAATGAAACTCAAACACAAGAGTGAATAACCGTCGGTGCTGTTTAACTCATTTCCGCTATTGCTGTGTTAATGGATGTGTTGTTGTTTCTCCAATGGTGTCTTTTAAAATAATTTGGCCAACGTTGTCACAGGTGTTTTTCCTAGGCTATGCAGCACAAGCCGTACGATGCCAACCTTAATTTCCAGAAAACTAAATTTCTAGCGTTCATTGATTATGTAGTCACGATGGCGTCTAGTCACACGAGAAAAAAAAAACGGGCGTGGAAAGCGACTGCACTCAGAGAACGGCAAGATGCATTGCACTCTATGCGTTTCGGTCAAGCTACCGACTCGATTGGAAAGTGCAGTAAACCGTGCACGCTGACAAAATAGCCTGGTTAATTTGACATTGTAAAACTGGCAGGTGCTATTTTATGTGGGCGTCTTTTAGTCAACCAAAACTTTACCTATTTGTGCATTTAATTCGTTGTTATCAAACGTCAAACCATGTAGGGCTCCACTCATCCCTTAAAAACTGAAGAATGAAATAATCAAAGTTGGCAGGTAACCTTGGAAACGGTTTAAATATCACGCAGTAATTACTGCGAAACCCGACCGCGTCTCGATATCCGATGCAAGTCTTGCGTCATGATAATGATGGAAAATTACCATTCGGTCGTATTAAAGGGAAAATACAACATTTGCAAACATTAAAAAATAAAACTACCAAATCATTTTGAAATACCTGGCTGGACTGTTAGTGAATGACAGTGTAAAGCATCCTGTAAAATCATGGCACCTGGTATACTGTCATTTTCAAGAAAAGTGGTATTTTTGTATCAATTCCAACGCTGGTCGGCCGACCAGCGTTGGAAAAAACTGGCTTTTTTTCAAATACTGGCCCCAATTGACCATCGCACTTGTTTGCAATCGATTACACACCTATGAACGGGTACAAGCCAGCTAGACTGGTTCCCTGACCTTACAATTCCCCAATGTATGTAAACTGCCCTGTTTCTTCTTATATGGAGTCAGGGAACCAGACTACAGGAAAATGATTGTTTTTCTTGGTTTTTATAGTATTTTCGAACCCAAAACCTCAAAAAAGTCAGTGTAACTATATTTGCTATATATTCCCAACCCCCCAATTCCATCCATTTCTGAAAATTACAGCAAAAGCAAATGATGTATATTCCCTTTAAGTCCCCCAGTTATCACAATATACCAGGTGCGTGTTGTTCATTAGGAACTCAACCCGCGACCACACCACTGCAGAGGACATTTTTAATACAGGATTGACCAAAATTATTAGCCCGTTAATTTTCATTTTAAACTATAGACACCACGCGAGGTTCCACTCTACAAATTAGGTTGTCCTTGTGCGCCTTTTTTGTGCCTGGAATAATTATTTCAGTTTTAAAAAAAAATAGGAAAGAAAATTTAGATCGTGTCTGCCAAGGGATCGATAGTTGGTAAACAAATTCAGAACGAAACAGTTCGCAAATGAAACACGTACTTTTTAATGCATGTCATTTTAATGCAGCTGGGTAGTAGACTCGATTCAAGTCAGTACAGAGGCATTTTTAAATTCTCCACGAGCATTACATTTTAAGACTAATTCTTGCGACAAATAAACTATTTTTTATGCAGATACATCCTTAGCTAAGTGCATTTTTGTCAATCAACTTCGTTGGGTTATTCCATAAATTTGGGGTCCACATTTTCTCCCTGTCCCTGTTACATCTTTTTGATGCACTCCTTAATGCAGTCATCCCCCAAGAGTGATTTTGAATAGCAAACTAACTACCAAACAAATACAAAATCGTTTGAAGTCATTCTTAATAATGATACTTGAATGGCAAATCACAAAGTACCAAGGTAACAAGGACAGGAAAATTGTCATTTTTGGACGCTAAATTCATAGAATGCCCCAGTTATCAATCATTGCATTACATCAACCCTTTATCTCAAAATATTGGGGGTGGACACCAAATCGACCCTTTTTTATGAAGTCCAGTATCAAGACAATATGGATTCCATAACCTTGTATATTTCATAAACATTTTTCAAGATTTTTTTCCCCTAAATGAAGAGAAATTGAACATCTTCTTTTTTCATGCACTTCTTTGTTCCTTTCCATAAAAAAACCCACGAAACCTTTTTTTAAGAGAGGGGGGGGGGGACTACTTTAACACGAAACCACCTGTCTTTTTAGGGAGAACAAAATAAATACAACTACTTTGTTCCTTTAAGGCATCGTTATGTCATTGATTTATTGCCTTATTCAAACCAAAATGTCGGTTTCACATGTGCATTATATAATCATATCCACTGCAAAATTTCTCCATAACCAAAGGTAAAATAGAATTTATGTCGCCGTTTGATGAAACTAAGCTACACACCATTGTAAAACTTATTAGGCCTAATGACAAATAATTACATACCGTCTTTATTCTAGAATTTTCAGGAAAACACCTAGTCTTAAAGTAACACGAATATACATGCAGCCCAAAATAAATCATAAAGTAAATGCATTAGATGTTAATTAACAATTACGATCTTATAATAGAATGTTATAAATCCTAGCCAGAAATACTACCAATTCACCCTGGTTTCTATTTTCCTTGAACACATTACCTGATGTCAAGCTCCTCTTTTACTACTTAAGCTACAAATTTAACGATTGTTCCCCCCCCCCCCCAAAAAAAGCTTGCATTGTTTGGCACCGAAAGACGTAATCTAAGCAAACCTGAAGTGTGAACAAGAAACTCAAATTTAATAGCATGCATCTGTTTGTGAAAACATAATTAACACAATGAACTTAGTGTAAATGACTGCAAAAATCACACGATGGTCGACATACGCTCATATCACTGCTGCCGATATTTTGGGAATAAATTGCAGAATTTTCAGATAACCCTGACAGTTACTGCCAATTCAAATTGATGTTATTTGATGTTGTATCCCAATAATTACAGCTTCCTCCAAAATAAAAACAGCATTGTTCCTTTATATATTTCAATACACAAACTCTACAGAAAAAAAATACAAACCAAACCTATTTTGGCAAACAAAACATGTTTGTGGATACAAATTCCATCATCTCCAGACATTCATTTCTCCCTAAATGTACACCATTCTTTCCTTAATCCAACTACTTAATTAAACCCCTAAATGACACAACCCAATAAAATCTACTATTACAGAAAAAATGCAGGATGTTGACAGACAGAAAGACTGAAAGGAGTCTACATAGAAAGGCCATTTTTAAACCTTGGCTTTAACTTCCGCTGTGGCCCCGGTACCACTCTTCTTTGAATGCTTGTGGACTGATTTGAAAAATGCATGCTCAAAAACCAGCATTCACATTTTGCAGGTGCACCCAAGATGAACATGTGGTCCATTCCATGTCTTTTCCTTGACTTTTCCAGGGACAAAATTAAGGGCTTTCCAAGACCATTTCAAGTGTTGTTTGTGGTATCTTAGGAGCCTTGTACAGAGCATTTTGAAAAAGGTTATCTGCCTACGACTTTGACAACCATAAAACAGAAGTGACCAAGCCTGAACCAGAGCATCCTACAGCAAGGGGATTTAAGCCAGGAAGCCAGAGCCGCAAGCACAAACCGAGATTTAGAAAATGGCAGAAAACAGCTGATGTAATTACGGCAGAAATATAATTATTCTCTTAATTCTCATTTGGCTCACAGCAAATACACAAATCATATCAAACAAAATACAGAACCAGAGTTAGTACATTTAAGATCCAGAAGAAGCATGTTTAAGGGAAACAAAAAATAATAATAATTATAACAAAAAGTGCTCAAGTGCTAAGTGCTTCCTTCAACCTGAGACAGACAAAATATTTCAAACAACTTTTAGCCTAACTCTAGCTGGCAAGCTTTAAAAAAAATACTTAACACAACATAAGAACTGCAATTGTGAAGTGTTGATAATGTGCCCATAAAACATGTACACTGTTTGCTGCTAGTTAGTGATATAACTTTAAAACGTGGAAAGCAAAAAAAGGACCAAAACAAATTGGGTAAAAACTGCAACCTTATCTGATAAATATGAACACAGAATAAAAGTTAGGCCACATGCAGGCAATTCGGTACAAAATATGTTTGCATTGTTTCACAAAAACTGGGGTTTCATATTTGCTCCGGATATTTTACTTTAGTATGCAACTACTGACCTTGATATCAATATTTTTTTTTCGAAAATGAGCAACTGAAATGCCACAGGTGAAAAGAAAATGTAGTTACATTATTTGCATTGCTTGCTTTTGTCATAGATTGTGCATTGTTTCATGTTGGATAAAAATCTATAACTTTGTAATACCACTATGTCTATGCTTACTTGATAAACGACGTTAAATACCATCAATATATCTTTTGGTTTTGAAACACTATGTGAATAAAATGGAATATTTTATATGCTGTATTTTTCCATATTTAGATAGTTGGCTCGTTTGCTTTCCAAGACAAGCCTCAACAAATATTCAACAGACTGGAAAATGGCTTTCGTTATCATGTTTGACTACCTTTAATAAGGGCATCCTGAACTGGGTCATTATACTTTATGCTCCGACCCAGAAAACGTAAAAAGGAACGATGACCCTAGTGCATTTACGTATTTTTGTCTCCTTTCCTATAATGATAATGATTGATTATACCATTTATGTGAACGGAACAACTAAAGTGTATTTACACAGCTGATGTGTTTTGTGTCGGGACTGGAAATATGTTTGTGAAACGCTTTTGATGCAGATGTTCAATACCAACATCACTATTTAACCTAAAATAAGGCCAAAAAAATATATATTTCTGCATCCGGTTTCCCTACCCACCCTATTCTGACAGCCCCTACCTTAATTTTTTTATGGGAAAACTGAGGAAAAAAAACACCCAAAACCATTGATTTCTACCTTTTACCCTTGACTACACGCAGACGCCTCCATATGATTGTACACAAAAATAATTGGCAAAAAAAAAAAAATTCCCTACCTACCTACTCTATTTTCGAATGCCATGTAATCGGAAGCAGAAATATATATTTTTTTTGGCCTAAGACAGCTGGTGATCACATTTTTAAGAAAATTAACCGAAAACCCTCAAGATGAATTGATAATTACAGGCAACTAAGAATTGTTTTGACTGAATTACTGAAATGCAAAAAAAGAAGAGACTTTGCCCGTTAAAACCTACAAAGACTCTACCTTGGGTGGTTCAAAACAAACTTTCATGTACATGTGTTTTAACAACTGGCTGTAAAATTAACAGCACCCAAATAAATAAAACTTATCGGTAAAAAAAAAAAAAAATGAAGTTGAATACCAGTGTATCTATCGGATTTGTTGAGGCTTGTCGGAGACGTTGCTGATGTTTACTGGAAGAGCGCAAGGATGTCGTTGTTGGCTTTTGCGATGCCCTTGGCAAATCGCCAGGAGTCCTGCGGAAATAATCAAGAATCAGTGATGCAAACATATCAGACAAAATGTATTATGTTGGATTTTCAATCGTTTGGAATGGGAACAAAATTTCAAAAATACTTTGATCTGTTTTAAGCCACTACATTAACTCGAGCAAAGTCCTTATGTAAATGACATTGTCCATTTGCCCCTTTCTCATAACATATTTACCCTTTTAACCCTAACCCCCTATTGGTTCCTCAGGACTACCCTGCTAAATCCAACAGAGTCCAACCGGAGTTTCATGCTCAATCCACTGTGCCTTATTTTCAGTTGCCTACTAAATCCAACAGATTTCAACAGGAATATATGCAATGCCTTTACTGCTCAATCCAACAGGCTCCATCGGGTATGTCAAATAGTTGGATCTTGTTGGATTCAGCAGGGTTAGGGTTTCCAACAAAGAAGTTTTCAACATATGGCCTTAAGATTCTAGCATCACTTGTTTTAACAAGAGAGCTTCTCAGATTTTGTCCCCCCGTTCCCATGCGGTTTCTAATGAAAATATGAAAAAATGAAATTCCGTGACTTTTCCCAGGACAAAATTAGGACTTTCCATGACCAATTCCTATGCCGTTTTGGCATATTGGGAGCCTATTTACAATACACTGGCCAATTGGCACTCTGAGGCAAAGGCTACCACTCCCTTTCTGCCTCCTGGTTTGACACAAGACCACTGAGCACCACAAAAGCATCACAATAGTACATCAAAGATATGCAACAAGCAAAGAGTAAACTGGCAAAGACTACCACAGCCAAACATTACGCGTCATCTCGTATGGGTTCTGCAGGATTCCACGACTGTTACATCACTTTTTACTAGGAATATCAACTTTCCTTGATTATTAACAAATTCCATGATTTTTTCTATGATTTCCATGATAACTTTCAATTCCAGGTCTTTTCTTAGACTGTGGGAACCCTGTCAAGTCTTGCAAGACGGATAGAAAGGTACAATGACATTACATGTACAGTTGAACATTATCATTCATCACTTTGTCAAAACATGAACACACATGTTCGTTCAAAGTTTTGTACTGCAGGATGCTTAGTAGAAGCATTTGAAACTCTGACAGCCCAAATTTATTGTTCTTCTTTTTCACCAGAGCAGTTTTTGTACCTAATTTCACCCTCTTGAGGTCCCTGACTGGGTACGTACCGTGTTGCCCGAGGACTTGTTACCGGAGACGTGATAAAAGATGACGTCCTCACCAGCGATGATGTATGACACACCATAGCCATCATGGGCCACCTGCGTTGAATGAAATTCAGCAATAAAGTTACAGTGATCATATAATAAGGGAGAGTAAACATTGCTCGACATCCGTAAACGAAATCTCTGAATAACTATGTTCGAAGCTCTAGACTTTTTCATTAGTGACAGGGGATGATCAATGACAATGGTGAACGGACAATAACAAAGTAATGCCTCTAGAACAGTTCATTTTAATAGCTTGTAAGTTGATATGAGACAGAACGACTCTTGAATGTCTTGAGAGAATGTCACTACTACTCCAGACATTGCCCATCCTAACCGTTAAAAGGATGCTGTTTTTGAGATAAGAATTTCATTAACAGGGGTGAAATTGGGAGACAATGAAAAATCCATGAAATAATCGGCAGAGGGTTTGCGGGGCATAGAGGGCGCCAGAGCAATGTAGGGTCTACAGTATATGTTTGTTTTTGCCTAAAGGCATCCCTCATAATACCCATTTCTTTTATTCTACATAAAAGTTTTATAGGTATTATAACTTTATCATAAAGCCACCTCAGTAATTCCATGTTTCAAGATGGATTCTTTAAAAATCCTGAAATCAGGAAAAATCCTGACCAAAAATCCCGAAATCTGAAAAATCCTCACAAATTTCACCCCTGCTCTTATCAGAACTAAAACTACTTAGCGAAACTTGATAATAAGCAGGAAAAGTTCTTTTCAGAACTAAATATCTACTGAGCAGTAGTTATTACCACATGGTGTTACCGCAAACTGAAACGCTACTGATACTCCACCATGCAAAGCCTAAAATCTTAAATCTCACCCCTGCATTAAAAAAACTACAAAAAAACTACAAGGTCCAATCTGGTCCGAGGATTTTTCCCCCACAAATTTCTCTGAAGCTAATTATAAATTGCCTCCACTATCAAGCTGCTGAGCTGACAAGGCTGTTCAGCAAAAACAGAACCACACAGGAAGAATGCACACAACCACACCATGCTTCACAGACACTTCTGTTCTAAGGAGTTCTGTGTGAACTTTGGCCCTTGAAGTCAAAGGTCAATGACTCACCGGGCCAAAGCCTCCACCGGCAGAGATGAACTCTGGATGCTTGCTGATGTCGAGCTTGTTCATCTGCTGATGTGGTGTCTGGCTTGTGGATAGACGCCATGGTTCGCTCAGCACCTACAAACCAGCGACAAGTTGTTATAGTTTTAGTCAAAATTCTCCCTTTTCTTTTCAACTTCTTTAATGCTACACTTTTTGTAGCTGGACCAAAATCAACTTTATGGCTATCCCACAATTTATTGGTGAGCATGTCCTAGGGGCTAAAGTTTGCAAATCATGATCAAACGGTCGTGGGTTTGAATTCACTTGCTACTGGAGTGCTGTGTCCTTGGGCAAGCCACTTTACCTGTATTTGCATGTCCATTTGTGATGGAAATGCACCTCATCACTAGGAGAAAAGAATGATTTTTCGTTCATGCCAAGAAACCAGGAGGTAAATACTAGCCTGATGAGCTATATTGGCTCATCCAGACTTTACTTGTAATGCATTATTAGCTCAAGTACTTTCAAGCAACCTTTGCAAAAATTTAAAAAAATTTAAAAATCTGGCAGACTAAGGGCCAGTTCATACTCAGCGTGAAAGTGAACGCAAACACGCATTTGTGACTTCACACATCAAGTTTCCGCACTACAAATTTACCAAGAGTTGAACCCATTCCAACTCGGGCAAATTTGCCCAATTGGCTTCACATTTGACTTAACAGATGAATTGTGTTCCAATTGGACACTCTTTTTTAACAGCACGTTGATCCAAGATCGAATGCAGGCAAATATTCCAATATGGGAACACCTGGTATTCACAGTTAGCGCAGGTGGTGTTCCAAGAGGAACACACCAAATTTCCCAGTGTTGAATAAAACTAACAACTAAGCACAGGTTTTACAATTATCGATGATATCCCGAATGGCCCAGCTTTTTTTTTTGTAGCAACAAGACATAAACGCTATTTTACCTTCTGCAAGAATGGAGACTCCTCATTCAGGTACTTGGAGACAACATAGAGGCAGAAGAGATGACGATCGATACCCATGCCGCACATGGCGTCACGGTAACCAGTCACATGGGTTTCACATGCCTTGCGGAAGGCAGCAAGACGCTGCTCCCTCTGCAGAATAAGAAATGCAACTTTCTTAGTAAAACTGAGTTGCAATAAGCCTCTGCACTGATGACGTCCCACTTTGTTTACATATGCAGGGGTGTGAGTGACCCCTGATAAAAAATAGCTGAAAACAGCTGAAAAAGGTGTAAAAAAGCTGAACTTTGAAAATCTCCTATACTTTTGTACACAGCAAGTGAGGGAAAAAAAGCTGAAATCCAAAACAAAAAAAGCTAAAATCAGCTTTAAAGCTGAGATTTCACACCCCTAATATGGTTTCTCATGGGAATCTGGTGGGGACGCCGGTTTTGTAGCCACATAGAAAAGCGCACAAGTAAAACAAAGTTTGATTTCATCAGTACAGAGGCTTATTGACAAAATGTTTTTATTGCTACTGGCAATAATAATAAAGGAACATATTAAACTTGCTTGATTTGTTTTTGCTTTCTTGATGTATAGTTTATAATCTGAACAAAAAAACCCAATTTTTTGCAACGATATTACATTTTCTGCAAAGCTTGCTTAATATAAAAAAGCATCTCAAGTCTTTGGAATATCCGAAGTTTGAACCTTGATAGTCCAAGATCCACTTTCCGAAGAAAAGACAAGAAACACCATAGAACTTCTTTAAATTTTTAACAATTCTTCAGAGAGGATGAGGAGTTGGTTCAATTTTGCGAAAAGTGGAATAGTATCGTGTAAAATATTTCAATCTTTAGACCTGACCAAATAGCAACATAAAAAACTGGGTAAACCAGGTTCAATTTTTTGTATGTTGAGCTTAGAAGAGATTTTCTCAGCAATAGCAGGTTAAAGTCATATTGTAATGCAGTACAACTGTTTGGCACTCTATTTGTGATGCAATCAAGCTAAATGAGTCGTTTGTCGGGAATTCTTATTTGGAGATACAGGTCAAAGGAGGGCCACTTCATCACATCACTTCATTGCATCTCTTGGTGTTCCAACTTCCATAATTTTTTAACTAAAGATGGTATCAGCATGTGGTTTTCACAGCAGTAATGCTGAGATTGTGCTCTTTTCAAATCTGTAATAAAAAATGTTTTGACCAGGGTCGACAAACGACTCATGTAGCTTGATCGCATCACATTTATTCTGCTAATCTCGTTTTTCACTGATCACATAACTTGACACATCAATACTTTCTGCTTTGTCGTTTGACATTAAGAACAAAGATGGCAGTACTCACGGTTGTTGAGGGGTCTTCCATGCACCTGACAAAGTCACATGAGCTGATGGTACAGGGTCGCACAGTCTCAGTTCGGCCATCTCTGAACAGACGGGTCATGGACGCCTCGTAGGTCAAGTTGAACTTGCCGGCATCCTGTGTCAAGAAATATTTAGGTAAATCTTGAAAAAGTCATGAAAATAGCACTTTGAGTTGCTGAATAAATGCCAATTATATCAAAGTAGTCATTTTTTCATCCTGTATAGACCGTGCAAGAAAGGAAGCATTAGCAATAAAAAGCGTACACTATCAAAAGAGCTGAAGTGGCAGAACATACCACAAGTGCACACTGAATAGTGCATGTGTGGTGCAAAGTGCCCTAATTATCAGTCCGAATATGCCCAAACTTGAAGCGTCATAACAAAGGTGCTGGATGCACGGCAGTAATAGTGTTCCGTGTTCATCGTCTCTCTCTTTTCACCACCGCAAAGGTACATTTGCAAGGAGACCATGATTATGACCGCTAATGGTGACACTCACCATTAAAATTGTAATGAAGTGAGCAAAACGCTATTCAGATGCAGCAGCAGCAGCAGAAGCAACAACAGCAGCAGAAACGCAGTCGCACTAAAAGCATTGACAACAGCAACAGCCGCCGCTCAGACTGTAGCGACAGCAACAGCAGAAACTCCAGTAGTACTGCATCCCGAATAACAGCAGCAGCAGCAATAGTGCCAAGAACAACATTAACTGCAGCAGCAACAGCAGCAACAGCAGCAACAGCAAGATTTACTTTAGACTGGACTGTTCATGGACTTGATTACAACCTGGTAGCACCAACAGGGATAGCAGCACAAGGGGCAGCAGCGACAAGGGTGGCTGCAAAATCACCAAGAGCAACAGTGACATCAGCAGCAGCGGCAGCGGCAGCAGCAACTGCAGCACAAACTCACCCTGAAGTAGGCCAGCTGCATGCCCATCTGAATGAAGGCATCGGGGCTGACTTTGCACTTCTTCATAGCCCCCTTGCCAAACTGGTTGTGCACAAGCAGGTGGAAATCCAGATCATCGGAGATCTTCTTGGCGGTCTGTAGACTGGTCTCAATCACTGCAGTGACCTAAAATTATAGTTCCAAATCAGGCAGAATCACAAATTGAGGTTGAAACAGAAACAGAGCCATTTCACACACGGGAAGGGTTTCACAATTTCTAATTTTAACATTGTTTATTACACAAATAATTTTTGGATTTGAAAATGTTTTGCAAAATGATTGAAACTGAGCATATTTGCAAAGGCCACACAATCCCTCAGAGAAGCTTTGTCATTGCATTATCAAGCAAAGTACTGACTTTGAAAATCTCATTATAGAAATGAAACTTATTTTCAACATGCACACAGATACAGTGGAATGCCGCTATAACGAACACAGCGGGATCCACAGAAATTGTTTGTAGTAGCGATCGTTCGGTATAGCGAGTTTAAGCTGCCAGTGCTCCGGTACTCACTTTTCAATACAAGCGCCCTTCAGAACTTCACCCTGCACGCCCTGTGCATGTAGTTACTGAAGGACGACTTTGAACACGTGCCGACTATTGAATTATGTAATAACCTGTATTGTTATATTGAAATTTGATTGGTTGACTGTTCACAGGACCAGTATGAGACCTGATGGATTCCGCGAAGTACATAATTGTCACTTCATGTACCCCAGGTGCTTCACTGATCCTTCTCAAAGTTGATAAATTATTTTCAACAGCATTCTTTTGCTCAAGATAGAATAGACTCTAGGCGTAAGGTAGGTATCCCACCCCAGTGTGTGTGTGTACATGCATGCCAATGTGAACCTGGGCACATGACATGCACACAGGCAAAATAGCTGGAACAAAAAGGCAAATTTTTACCTCTTCTGACAGCTCGAACTTGAGGCGCAAGGGTGGTGCATACGTGGCCTTGACCTCCCCCTTACAGGAACCATCATCGTTGTATCCAATATCCATGATGTCTTCACCAAAGGCGTACTCAAAGAGATGAGCCATGACAGGGGCGTCCGCACTGAATATGGGAAAGACCAGTCAATTCTACTTCTTATGTGCTTATCTGCTTGAGTGCTAAACATTTCGTGTTTGAGACCTTGGGCCAATTTCATAGAGCTGCTTAAGCACAAAATTTGCTTAAGCACAAAAACGTCTTGCTTAATAAAATCAGGTTACCGGCCAAAACTCCATGCGATTGTTATGCTAAGTAAACAACAGCTAAATACCAGTCACAAGCAATGTACATCACATGGAGTTTTGGCCGGTAACCTAATTTTACTAAGCAATGTTTTTTCGTGCTTAAGCAAATTTTCTGCTTAAGCAGCTCTATGAAATTGGGCCCTTGTGTACAGGACTTGATCTTAAGCAGTGTACTTGAGTGCTAAGATGGAAGTACTAAGATACTAAAGTACTAAAAAAACAAGTTGCTGTTAAAATATACAAGTGGAAATTCAAGCTTCAAAGTCAATCATGGCAACTCGGATCGTCTAATCCACCTACAGTGAGTGCTCAGCGTTGACGCCCATGCGTCCGTTCTTGAAGATGACAAGGTTGAAGCACTTGTCAAACCAGCGATTGTGTCCGTTGCCGGCTAGCAGGGAGTGGCTGAACCTATCCAGCATGCGATTCTGGTTCTAGAAACAGAGAAACACACCGCTCTCGTCACTCATTTACATAAAATTAGAATTCTTGTTGGAAACTTCTGACCTACCATACACAACGGTTTTTGGTACTTTAAACTACTTTAAATTTCTTAAAGGTGCATACCTCATGCTCTTCATAAAAAATTCCTTTTTTTTTTGACTAACAAATTTTCAGTTCCATGTTTTCCAATGGAAGTGTTGACATAATACTGTTTAATATGGACAAAATAACATGCAAAAGATGTTTCAATGTTTGGGTTACCCAGGGGCTGCCTGTCGGCATGACGTTCGGGGGTACATGGTCTATACCATTTCACTTTTACATTTTGAAATTGAAAAAATCGGAAATGAAAAGTCTGATTAGAAACCTCCAACAAAAAGCACTTTTTGCTTAATAAATGAAATGATTTTTTTTCCTCCAAAACATTCACTTACCCAGTTATCTTTGACAGGCGTGGGAAACTGCAGAGAAGGATAAGCAACGAAAATAAGAAACAAAAGTTAACATAACCTTAGAATAGGGTATCAAAGTGTTTCAAATGGAACATTCAATCAATATTTGACAGGAAGAATGCTTTTTCAAAAATGCTACAGAGATGCAATATATTTTTCACCAGACTTGAACATTATCTTTAACCACTCTGCGCCGGGATTATTTTGACATTGACCGGACCGAGGGGCAGCATTTTTTTCATGAACCTCGATGCCAGATGGGTTCAGGCTGTCATCTGCAGGTAGCACACCCTGATATTTCCGGCCTCGCTCACTGCGTGTTTATCCGTCATCTGTTCGGAATACCGCAAAACCTTTGCGTGTATACACGTCATCCGACGTGTACTAGTTAAATGAGAAAAGCTTACAAGTTTTTTTTCTAGGAAGTAGGAAAAACAGCTGCTTGACACTGGTGTCGACCCCGGCAAGCTCAGTGGTTGAGTGGTAAGACGTCTGCACTAGTCAGCAGGAGGTTGTGGGTTTGAGTCCCACCCGAGAGATTTTTTTCTGCATTCTGCCATAAGAGACATTGTGGGAGATGCACGTTGCTTGGCAAATTTAGCAAGTAGAACCAGATTTGATATAAATGAAAAGATGCCTTTATTTCTGCACTATCATGACCATGTATGACCTCTGGGCTTCAGTTGCACCCAGATTTGTGAAGCCCACCTTTTATGTTCAACCAACCAGCCTGCCAACTAGCAAGCAACCCAACTCGCAAGCATGCCAAGTAGCTAGCCAGCCAACTTGCCAGCCAGCAAACTAGCTGGCCAGCCAAATACCAAGTAAGCCAACTAATTACCAGCTGGCAACTGGACAACTAGCCAGCCAGCCAACTAGCCAGCCAGTCAATTAGTAAACCAGCCAACTAGTAAGTAAGCCAGCTGCTAACTAGGCGGCCAACTAACTCGCTTTAGCAAGCAAAGTATCAAACAAGCCAACTAGTCAGCCAGCCAACTAATCAACCAAATAGACAGCAAACCAACTAGCCAGTCAGCCAACTATCCAGCCAACCAGCTAGCAAGCAAGCCAACAAGCCAGCAAGCCAACAAGCAAGCAAGCCAAATAGGTAGCAAGCCAAATAACCAGCCCGCCAACTAGCAAGTAAACGAACTGGCAAGCAAGCCAACTGACCAGCCGGCGAACAAGCAGGCAAACCCACTAGCAAGCACGCCAACTTACCAGCCGGCCAACTAGCCAACTTGTCAGCCTGCCAACTAGCCAGACAGCCAAACCAGCGTGCCAACCGTCTTGCAAGCATGCCAACTAGCAAGCATGCCAACTAGCAAGCACGCCAACTAGCAAGCACGCCAACTAGCAAGCACGCCAACTAGCAAGCAAGCAAACCAACTAGCCAGCCAGCCAACTACCCTGCCAACCAACCAGCAAGCAAGCCAACAAGCCCGCAAGCCAACAGGCAAGCAAACCAAATCGATAGCAAGCCAACTAGCCAGACAGCCAACTAGCAAGTAAACCAACTAGCAAGCAAGCCAACTAGCCAGCCAGCAAACAAGCAACCAAGCCAACTAACCAGCCATCCAACTAGCCAACTGGCCAGCCAGCCAACTAGCCAGCCAGCCAACTGGATGAGCCTTTGGCCAGCCAGGCAAACAAGACACAGCAAAGCTATCTAGGAACATAATCAACTGGACAGATGAATTGTTACATAAACCAACCCACTAAGTTTCAGATGGCAGCTACAAACTGACACACTTAGTTTCATAAATTCATTGAAATCAATAAATACACCAATACATGTACATGTATAATGAAAAAGTATTCTATCTACTGGATAAAGGGCTACGATATAAACAGGTCTTCAACTTTTATCATTTCCATTCTAAGCCCCTTAAAGAGATTAAGAAAGGAATAAGATCAGCCAATACCATTAGTCCCCACGAAGTGGAGGATTTTTCAGGATACAGAAGATTCCTTGCAAAAATGCCTAAAATTTGGGTTTGATGAGGAATCAAAGTTTTAAACAGGTAGGTTGTGTTTTTATAAATAGCCAACCAGAAAACTATGAAGGAATTTTAGTTTTTATTAGGGTCAATCAAGCCCCGTGTTAGCTTTAGATAGCTTTTAGAGGTTAAGACTAGCAATCAGCCAAAGAAATCAAGAAGAAAATGTTAAAAGAGAATCCAGTTTAAAATCAAGCCATGCCGTACGAAATCATGCTTTTCAAGAGGATACAATAGGCAAATTAAATACAAAAATCAGACCCGATTGTGAAAGTCATGTTTCTGTTGGTTATTTTTCAGGTCACATGAAAGCACATGCATTATTAGCCATTTCTAATTTTTTCGAAAGTTTTGAATTGCTGGTACTGAATGTTAATATGGAGTTTGGTAAATGACATGACATCAAGGTATGTGTTAAAAATGGAAATTTGACAGATTTCCCTAAAAAAAATACCCACAATACTGAAATTGAAATTGCCAGATTTCAGGTGTGTTCCCCGTTTCATCAAAAGCAACATAATCAAGCTCAAATTGGGGGAGAAAGTGAAGCAAGTACCTTTTTACCATTTGGAAAGCTCATCTCGCTCTGTGAGTTTACAATCAACACATGCACAAAACTCTGTGGACAGTACTACCGGTCTTCCACACATTACCTGGTTGTCAGTGGACTCTTGGGGTCGCCCTTTATACCATGGCGGCAGTTTTTGATTGGCCAGTATCCCCTTCAGTGGTTCCTAGTGTGATGGCATTCGTTCGGTCATTGGCAGTGGTTAGGTGGGAAAAGGAGCAAGGAAAGATAGGCCAAAGTGTGAACAGAAAAAGGACAGATGGATGAAAAACAAGACAAATGATTTCTTCAAGTTTGCATTCGTGAACTGAGGAGAAAAAAAAGAGCACAAACGAAAAACAAAGACACACCACACCATGCATTTTGACGACGACAAACAAGACAAGAGTAATGTTATGAAGATGGACTGAATGTTAATCTCCTGCAGTTCTGTCATAGAATCCTGGGGTGCCAGTCTACCAAAGAATTTTTTTTTTTTTTTATTCCACCAAACTTCTTCCCTGTAGCTCACTTAACATAAGAAGTACTGAAGTTTGAAGGGGAACATGGGTTATCAACTTGACTTGAAAATAATTAACTTGGAAAGAAAACCCTTTAAAGTCAAGTTTAAAGGGAATCTCTATTATGTTGTTAAAAAAATGTACTATTATCTGTATTAAATCAGTTTGAATCAGGCAAAGATAAAATGCTTAGGATTAAGGCAAGAGTTGTAGATACAGGCAAGTGGGATATGAACCTAGGTCGTAAGACCAGCATTTTTAATTTGTTGGATTACGAAAACGCCGACTCTGAATTTGACAATTTTAGAAAAAAATCAAATGACAAAAATTTGGTTATTTTATTCCCGATGCGGGATTGTTCATATCTGAAGAAAACAATTGTAATCTATTCCCACCCCCCGACACAGTGTTTTAAGTAAATTGAAACAAAAAAAGACTTACTTTTTGTTTCTACTTTGTTTAAGACAAAAGCACAGCGTAGCCCATATCGCTGACGTCCCTGGTATCCGACCCAATCGCATACACGCAGAAGTTCTCAGCAAATTTTGGTTTTATTTTTATTCCGTCCTCCGACCCTGCCAAAGTTCATGCTATGTTTGTAATCCAACAAATAAAATGCTGGCCTACGGGTGGTGGTACAAAACTCATTACCTCCCAATATGGATGTCAGTTATGAAGGAAAAAGAAAATAATTGTTATTATGCACTAAAATCCTATAGCATAATCATAATTAGGAATTTATTTTAGGGTCTTCATCCTGTGCGAACTGTTCTGTTTGTTTTTTGTTCGCTTGTTCAATTTTTTTGGAAGGGGGGTTATTACAACTGTATTATTTGTGACTTCTCAACAACAAAAAAAACTTATAATCCTTTATGGGTTCAGCTTTAGACCAATCTTACCATTGGCGCAATGTGGTACAACTGGCAATCAGAGGAAAATTAAACATTTTTTGACAAGTTTATGAAGGTTATGATATGGAACATTTGCTGTTAAGAACAGCAATATGATAGGAACTGGATGCTGTTAGATATGAACATGGTGATTTGAAAATTAAAACCACATTTCCACTTCTTTTTTTTTTGGTAGCGCTACCTGCATGCAGTGCTTCCAGCCTTGCACATTGCCAGGTGCCACAATCAGCTTACCATTTTGAAAAATAATGCAAATCATTCACATTATCGCAAACATAGCGAGCAATTCTAATGCTTGTTTTTGTGAACATGTACTCTAATTTTTGGAAATGGTTTCTATACTTTATTTTCTAAACTAAATTGAGCATGAAGCATTGACACTAATCCTAATACATCAACTCTCCTAGAAAAAAAAATGCAGTTTTTTTTAAGTTTGAAAAAAAAAGATGAAAGCCGTCACAAGTTTAATGCATGAGTTCAAAGGTCATCTCCAACATCATGTCAAAGGTCGTGAACTTTCAGCCCTGAGAAGGATAAACTGGTCCAACAACCAGAAGTTGTTACGAAACACAAGTGCACCAGAGGTCAAATGTCAAGGGTCATCGTTAAGGTCACTCACAACATCATAATCTTGTGCTTCGTCGTCGAGGACAACAATGAAGGCCGCCATCTCGATGGCTCTGAGGGAGATCTTGTTGACGCCTCGGGTGAAGAACCGCTGTCGAGCCAGAGCCCAGGGAATCCTAGCCAAAGAACACAAACATTTGAATGTGACACGTTGCTATCCTTACTATAATTCCAGGAATCTCTGTCTGTCTGTCTGTCTGTACGTCGATTATCTCCAAATCCAGGGACATATTTGCCTGAAATCTGAGCTATCAAGGAAAAGCATATATGGGCTCTGTGCGCAAACAAGAGAGGTTGCTCTTTTCCTCTTTCGAGAGTCCCATGGACGAGACACACCATGTGAGTGTACTGGTTTCGAAAGTGTATAGTTCTAAATACGCACAACTAAGTTTATTGTGAATGTGCGCAAAGCCATAGCGTCTCTGCGTGAGCGTCACTAGGACGTCGCCGAAGGTCTCTCCCAGATGTCTCCCCCAACGAAGCCCATACACATGTATGGTGCCACAATGTTGTTTACAAGTTCAAAAGCCCATAATCAGGTAAATGCAGGAGGATTTACATCCCTGTTTATCTTTCTATTTTTTTCTGAAAAAAAATTGATTCATACTCTGCACAAAAGCAAATGAGAATGCAAATAACGTGTGACATCATGGAAACTAAAGTATGCATATTGTCAGTTCATTACGTTCAACATATTTTCACTCGGGCCAATTTTGTTGCGAACGTTTCGTGACATGGAATTGACATCAAAGTACTGCACGCAGTATGAAAAGGCCCTTAGTCTGCCGAGATCCACCACTCTCCGGTAAACAAATGGAACTGTAACAAAAACTGGGACAGTAAGCCATACACTAAGTAATAGCGACTAAGTTTTAAAGTCCCGTTTCCATCAAATGGGTCCAAAACCCCTCCGAATGGATTTTGACGTATTTGGGTTGTTCGGCTCAAGGATGAAATGACTAACTAATCGTTACCTGTCCCCGGCAGTGAGGGCAGGCAGATGCTCCTCTCCATCCACTGGTTCGCTGGGGTCATCAATTATCCACTGGAACTGCCTATAAGGTCAAAGGGCAACAAAAGGGGACTTCAGCATGTAGGAAAATATTAAGGCTGGTTTTATGGCTGATTCCATGTTTGGGTCATGTTCATTTATATGCAGCATTTTTCCTTTGACTGCCTGTTACCTGGCCTCGCCCAGCATTGACATGACTTGCTATATCTCGACTTTCAGGTCTCGTGTCATGAGAAGGTCCCACATATTTTTACATGGATAGAGAGCTGCATAGTGTGGCTACATTCTCCAACAGGTTTGAAGTCCGCAAACTAAATATAATTAAGTACAAGAATTTGCTAAGCACAGAAAACAGTTGGTTAGCAAAAAGAGGTTACCAGCCAAAATGTCATGAATGGTTGTTGCTTGTGACCGGTTCTCACCTTTTTCCATGCTTATATAATAAGCCAGTTCGGTATTTCAACTGCGCATACACACAAAAATATCAGTCACGGGTCTTTTGGGATAATCTAACGCTCATCCAAAGGCGCATGAACGCCCAAGGAGACATTCGCACCATGCTTGCATGTTAATTATAATCAGGATGGGCATGTGTAACATCGCATAACATCGCGTCAGCGATTTTATCCCAAATGACCTTTGACCTGGACTACTTCATCGAGAAACCAAACTGGCTTTTTAGCTCAGCAATAATTATTTCTGCTTAGCGACACCATGAAATTGGGCCTTGATCAGGGCATCAGAGAGCTACAGACTTTTCAGTGAGGGGTTGAGTCATCTTCCCGACTCAATAAATTGTAATAAATTTAAAAAAAAAACCTACTTCTGAAGTTCAGCAGGGTTCAGCATGGTTGCGTTCACCTGGAAGACCAGTTTGTAGAAGCGTCCTCTACAGATGACGACGATGTGCTTGCTGTCTTTGTGGTGGACCAGCGTATCGGACTCGAGTCCCGGGATGCGCGTGGTGTTGAACAGCCGCTCATACTGGTAGGAGCAGAGCGGGACCATGCCTTGCATGATGAGCGGTTTGAGCGTCTCACGTTCGATCTCACGGCGGAAACGCAGGAGGCTGAGGGTGAAGTTGGCTGCGCGAGCTGCCTGGATGTATGTGGGCGCCATGGCAATGGAATCCTGTGGAATTTCAGAGGGGTAAGAAAACTGAAACGTTTCAAATCACGAACTTGAGATGAACTATTTTTGAATGTAGAAAAGCGACATTCGGTGGAGTTTTCAAAGCTCCTGCTTTGTGCTAAAAAGAATGTTTAAATCTTGACTTTGGCTTGCAATTTTAAATGCACCTATTAACCCTAATCCTCCAGAATATGTTGGTTAGAAACACTGCTTAACGCAGAAACATGCAACACTTGTCAAAATGACAAGCCTGTTCAATGTGGCAAGATCCATCAGATCAAAAACTCAGGGCCAAACTGCCACAGGGTCTGCGGTCACCAAGTGAAGCAGGATGCAACTGTGGTATTGTTCAATAGGACTAGCTCTCATTTTTTCAGAATTGGCCGTTTATGCACTGGTGATGATGGCTCAATGCAGCAAGGTCTCACGGACATTTACACCAGATACACTGTGTAGCATTTCGCATGGTTAGCGCTAAAGAAGCAGAGTCCACATCCAATGGACATGTGTGTTACTGGCGGCCATAGCTAAGTGATTCAGATGTGGCCTAACGTGTCTGTAAGCATGTCTTTGCAATTGTTTTTTTCTAACAAGCTTTTGGAAAGACCTGGCAATGCACACGTAATATTAAATCAGTTGAGGTAAAACCCTTATTTATCTGCTGAATAAGCTTGCCAATTGTGACGTGTACATCTTGCGGTTGCACAATATGTCATTCATTTACAAAGATTAGTTAAGTATTCAGTAAAATGACTTTATAATGGTTAAAGCTACTTTGTGAACAAACAAAAAACTATCTGTAAAGGTGTAATTTCCGGTGCATGCTTTGGTGAAATAGCTGCAGCCGAATCTACAATACACAGCAAAGTAGACTACGGACTGTGTGCAGAAGTACCCCCTCAACGGTCACAAAGGGAGAGTTGGGGAGACCACTGGGAGGGACATTCGAACTCATAGCCGATGACGCCGGACGCTTACATTAAAGGTATAGTCCATCATTTGTAATTTGTGCATTTTGTTCGTTTGAAGCAACAAAAGTGCTCAAGATCTAAAGAAGGGTGCTGAACAACTAACCTGATGAAGTTTCAGCTCAGCTTTAGCTGTTTGGAGAAACACAACATTCTAGGTTCTCGATTCAAATCAAAAGTTCCTGAATCATGTTTTGAATTGGGCCTGAATTCAGCGTCCGAGACACGTTCTCACTGAGCCGATTGCAGCTACGCGATGTTGCGCACTGATCCGGCGAATTATAGCAACCATGCATGCGCGCCTGTGCGTCGTGCCAATGCGAACTACTAATTTGAATTTCCTACGGTGCTTCTTAAGAAGCACCGTTGGAAAGGCCTTCTTTCGTTGATTACTTCAAAATGACAGCTTGCCAGAAAGAATAATTTCACAGGGAGTTTAGTCTCCTTACTATCTTTCAACCAAGTATGTTTTTCAACAATAATTACGACAGTTACTTTTTGCATAGCTGCAAATGATGGACTCTGGCTTTAAGACGCTACGGGTGTGTGCACATTCAGAAAAAAATCACTTGTGCTTACTTCGCAAACCAGAACGCGCATCCGATGTGCAGTCCAACTAGGGCTTTCAAAATGGTCACAAAACACTATCTATTGCTGGTTTACGGAGTAAATAGCCAAGAACGTGATGCAGGGACTGACAACGAATTTCTTGCGAGAATTCTAGCTGTACACTCACCATTCCGTAGTAGTTGCTGTTGACCATGATCGGATCCCGCCCCCGCAGGTACACATACTCCTCCCACCAATCACTCACATAGTTGGTGGACCACCACCATTTCAGTTTGAGGTATCGCTGTAGGCGTGGCCCGAGCCCCACCTCAAAGTCCTTGACGAGAAGCTCCATGCGTTCAAACTCTTCGTCGTTAAGGAACCCACGCACGGACAGCAGATACTGCAAAACGTCACACCAAACAAATGCTACCATTGGGTCAAAAACTTCTAACATCTGCTGAAGACGGACATTGAGTTTATACCAAGCCGGTGGAGTGTGAAATATTGACTCTTTGAAATACAGACTCCTAGACTGTACTGGGCATGCCTAAGTGAAGATAATTAGGACAGTGAAAGGTCATGTGTGAGGGATAGAATCCGTATAAAAAGGTAAAAGAAACCAAATTTCATATGACACCGGTTCTTTTTGTATAACCACAACTCACAATAATACAGATTTGAGTGCATGTCACCCTCTTATTCTAACCAATTCGAATTCAAAATCTTTTCAGGACTGTGTATATGGCTGAAAATAGCGCACCCTTAAGTAACAGTAAATTTCTTGTATTTTAGATTATATGCAAATTGCCAGATTTAAAGTGAAAAACAATAAGATTTGGTAGAGCACTAGTACAGTGTTTTGGGGGTTGCAGGTTCGAATTCAAATCCTGTTAAATTTGTTTTTCAATCTTATGCTGACTGAAAAATAACCTAGTTAAGGCCCAAAAAAAAAAAAAATCGATCTCTGGTCAGCGCGCGCGTCGATTTTAACCATGCGCGTCAACCTTTATTTTCTTAAAATTGTCCGCGGTAGCTACAACAGCGCCCTCTATTGCCGCACCTCCTCAAATTTGTGTACCAAGGAATGGGGAAATTGCACCAGGGCAAATCATGGAGGGCACAAAGGCAAATTATGGAGGACACCAATGTATATGAGGACACAAAAAAGCAAAAAAATAGTACCCACCTTGTCTGTACAGTCCAAGCTTAAAAAAAAAGCAGCAAAAAAACACCCCCAAAAAACGTGTCGCCGCATCAATTCTGGAACTTTGGTCTGACCAGAGACCGACTATTTTTTTTTTTTTGGCCTAATTATTTCCTTTTGTGGTTTAGTTGATGAAATTAATTTTTGAGAGCCAAAAAAAGGTTAGGACAGTAATTTTTTGTCAATGTGTCAAAACTTTTTTTTTCAATATGTCAAAACAATATTGCAGATATGACAAATTTTAACCTTTGTCGACTTTGTGTGACTTTCTAACAATTAATTTTTTTCACTTACAAGCTGGAATTCAACAAATCTGAGAGACAGTAAAATCTGACTTACCCTTCTCATTGTGTCTTGAAGTGGCGGCAGAGGCAAATTGGGCAGCGCATTCTGATAGCTGAACAGACGAGGTTTACTGGTAACGAAGCACCTCAACAGCATCTGATAAAACAACGGACAAAACTTCAAATGCCAAACACACTAACTCTAGAAGGGAACAAATCTTCTGAACTGAGATATCACTTGCGTCTTAAGAAGCACCGTTGGAAAGGCCTTCTTTCGTTGATTACTTCAAAATGACAGCTTGCCAGAAAAAATAATTTTAATAGGGAGTTTAGTCCTATTACTATCTTTCAACCAAGTATGTTTTTCAACAATATTTACGCCAGTTACTTTTCGGATAGCTGCAAATGATGGACTATAGCTTTAAGTCACTGGAGGGCAAAACCATCAAAGAAGCAAGCACTACTTACCCCCCATATCTTGGTCTTGAGAGAAATTTTGCCCCGCCCCTCATACATGAACCCCTTGTAGGAGAGCAGTCGCTTCAAGATGAACCGTAGCGTGAAGATGATGCCCAGCCACAGCAGTGTGGCAAAGATGACAGTGGACAGATAGATGGTTGGGGCCGGCCCAAGATAGTTCCTGTAAAGAAAGGACATCAATATCGGTCGGCGACAAATGAAAAAGAAAGTTATTTGAAGTCTTTAAAACTCAGGAAAAACAAGTATCGCGGGATCCACATAAATTGTTTGTAATAGCGATCGTTCGGTATAGTGATTTTAAGCCGATACCAGCTTGTGGTTTTCATACATTAGTGGTGCCCTCTTTTGAACGTTGTTACCCTGGCATTACTGAAAAACGACTTTGAACACGTGCGACTATTGAATCATGAAATTACAGTTTTGAGCTTACACGGGTGGAATTCCCTTCTATTTCTTTGAGGAAATAATAGCCATTTATCACTGTTCTGTTGACATTTTCTAACAACAATGTTGGGTATAAGATTTGAGGCTTTGCATTGTGGGGTATTGGTATTGTTTCGGTTTTGCGGTAACACCATGTGGTAATAACTACTGCTTAGAAGATATTAGTTCTGAGAAGAACTTGTCCTGCTTATTATCAACTTGCTAAGTAGTTTTTTGTTCTGTTTAGAACAGTCCTGCTGTAAGTTCTAAAAGAACTTGTCTTTGGTCTCTTTGGAATGTTGGGTATGTTTTGAACACAAAATTGAGAGCCAAGGATGATGTTCAGTATAGCCAAATGTTCGGTAAAGCGGTGTTTGATACAGTGACGTTCCACTATATTTGAAATTTGGTATTGTAATCATGCTTAAATTTGAACCCCCTACCCCCAAAAAGCTCTAGAGGCAATTTCTATTTGAATTAGTTAATCTACATGTAGCTGATTAGGCAACAAAAGACCTTTTGTTCTAGCTCATACAATCTTCTACATTTTGCAGGGTGCCAGTGGAAACCCTCAGGGTTGCCAGCACTTTTATGAAAACAAAATTCACTAAGTTTCTTTTCCGGATATCTCTCTAGGAAATTTCCATAGTTTCATTAGAAATATTTTCACTTTAACAAGATTGCTGGGAAGTCAAGAGGTGGTGTAGCACAGCCAATTGTTATTGTCTGGAGAGGTGTGTAATATTCACACTGCATAAACACTAAAAAGCCACCATAGCCAGTCAGTCGCAAGACGCATATATGCCAAACTGGCGATAAATCTTTCCCTTCTGGGTCACTTTGAAACCCTAATCCTAAAGGTGTAAGGGTTAACGTATCAATGTGATGGAGTGACTTACACTGGTAAGACGTTCTCCTTGAGTTTATCAATCATTCCCATGGATGGATCCAGGCGGGCCAGGGAGCACGCTGTGACTGCTGTCACTACGGCTAACCAACTCAGTGGGCTGGCAGGATAGGTGGTGTTCACCATGCCATTCTGCGGTAAAAATATGAAAATTATGACAAATAATGGGCAATACAGCAGCCAAATTAGTCGTTAGAGTTCCTCAAACATGATGCCAGGGATGTATTGGACTCTGATATTTTTGCCTGAAATTTGAGGTATAGAGGAAAAGTACACACACATGTATGTTGCCAATGTGTTATTTACAATTTGGAAAAAGCCTTAACATAAGTTCAAGAAATAAGTTCAAGAAATATTCTTGTCTGAACAGAGAGCTAGATAATCAGTTCCAAATCTGGTAAGTATTTTTTACACAATTCTCTTGTTTTTTTATGTCATATTTCTGTGTCATTTTTATATGCGAAAGATCCTGTTGCGATTGAAATTGAAACATCAAGCCCTGTAACTTTTGTGTTTCGTATTTGTATTCAAGGTCAATCCATTCTGAACCACTTTACTCCAGTTGTTTTCATTTTCATTGTTTTTTTAATTTCCAATTTTTTTTATACTAATTTCCTGATTGGCTCGCTTATTATTTCCCGAATGAAGAGGAAATGAATCAAAGTGAAAGAATATTACAAAGAATGCACGTTAAAATGACCTCCGATGATGCTGCTTCCTGAATCATGATTCATTTTTGTAAAAATGGCGACCGTGATGTAAATGGTCGCTAATTTGTTAGTGTTTTGATGCCAGAGAGATGCATGGTAAAATAACTTTCTGTTTCTTTGAATCAATAAAGGAATAGTGTTTTGATACTGCAGCCTCCAAGAGATTAGTCTGAGCCACACGACACACGTCTGATATAATATCCTAGAATGCAAATTTTATATGACCCTACACGCCAGTAAATTAACTTATTGCGGCAGAATCGCGTCAATGCAGCTTGTGAAATATTGTCCAATTACATGATACAAATGGACGCGGTACGTGCAAAATCTGAGACAAACAAAACTTGACGTACACAATTCCATAGGGTTGTCTAAGAGGCTTGGCTAACTCGCAAATGGCAATAGGTCAATTGGAGTCAAAAGTTAGAAATTGTGACACCACTTCGATCAGAACAACAAGGCGCCCGCTGAATGGTCAGTATCTTGAGGTCAAGATGCAGTCTTGTTTTGCATAATTAATTGCCAAATCTGTTCGCATATCATAGACCCTTGCTGTGCAAGGGGATACTCCGTGGACTATCAAGAGATGTGATTAAGATCAAAATGGTGATGTTTCTCTTCAAGATACATATTCTTGTTATTATGAGAATTCCTAATGCACTCAAGAGTATTGTAAAAGTTTTATCCATATTTTATACTATTTTGAAGATTTGATATTTTTAATCGAAATTCAGCCTTTTGGCTGCGAAGTTTTAAAATTTTAATAAACCAATAATAATAAAAAAAAAAATTTTCGAAAATGACTTTTTTTTAAAAATGTGAATGACAATTTATACAAAGAAAACAAAATCAGCATCGTTTTACTTTTTTTTAATTATAATAAACCCTCGTTTTTTTGGTTACACCTCTATGTTCCAACACCCCTATGTTCCGACTGCACATATTCCTATTCCTAACCCTAACCCTAACCGGGAGTAACACAATCTAGGTTGTCGGAACATGGGGGTGTCGGAACATAGAGCAGTCACCGTTTTTTTGCAATCTAGTTTTCCCCCCCCCCCAGTCTTCATCTCTGAAATGCCCAGCATTTCTTACATAAATACTGGTCCACTTTTTTTTACATGCATAATGCACTTTATTATTGTTTTTGAGATAATGCAGACATATAACTAAAAAGGCACTATTTGATTTGGGTAAATTTGGGTAAATACAAACTTCTAAAATTGGTCCCAGTGACTGGGTTTGTACTGGAGGTTCATGTTGTCAATGGACCGATCCAATCACAGCCGTGATTTATGTCCGACGTGCGTGCACAAACGTCCGACATGAGTGCACGCGCATATGATGCGCGCGGCAGGAAAATGCAGTGTGGCATTGGAGAGGGGCACGTGTTAATTTGCCCACGTGCGCAGTGGGCGGGGCTTACTGGATCGGTCCATTTCAGAGATGTTTGACATCTCTCTAAAAAATACTGTACATATTAGAAACTACAATGCATTGAAACAAGTACCTGGAAACGCCTGAATTTCTTCACCCATGATCGTCTGCCGCTCTCAAAGACTGCTTTCAGCGCTTCATGGTTGATGTCAAAGTCGATGCCTTCATGGGTGACCGTGAACTGGAATGCCACGGCAGCATGGGCTTCAGCCATCTCGGGGGTACCTGGGGGGCACCACGCAACCTGGGATATTCAACTCTAAAGTGGAAAGACAGAAGCATCTTACGTCAATCAAATCCTACTGAACTGAGACAAATTTGATGCATTTCCTGAACGTCCTTTTGATGCAAATTTGCTAGAAAACCTTTCTGGACTTTTAAAATCCAACAACATTCCCAATTATTTCCCCATAATTTTACCTCAGTGATGGCTGAAGGAAATTGGTAGGAGACCTCTTCTCACAGTAGAATTCAGATCATTTTTCAAAAGTATATTTAGCCAGCCCAACCAGTTTTTGAAAACTAATGAATTATATCCAAAACGTGTTTCCAAATTCAAATGTCTGAATGAAGTGTATGGTGTATGTGGTCGGTCATCTGGTCATTGCATTAAATGGCAAAAATGTAGTGGAATGAATCCGGCGACCAGAATTAGATACTTTTACAGCTGTGGTGTCACGCTCACATGCATGCTGCATGCGTTCTTAGACTCTAGAGACAAGGCGCACGCGCATTTTGGTATTCCTATTGGTCGAAGGAGCCTGGAGTGTACGTGTACTACCTTAGTACGACACGCACAAGCCTGGTGCCACCGGATTTGTTTACATGTACTCGATTGATAGACCCAGATCAAATTTCACAGAAATACTGAAAAAAAAACATTTTACCTGCTATAAACAGAACCATGAGTCAGGATACAAATATTGCATTTGTAAAATAGATCCCACTACAGAAAAATAACTTTGATGTTGGCCTGATGCAACTGCAGAAATCTTCAAGTGTACACGTACTATTCGTACGAAATCTTCTATTTTATTAACAACTGGACCACCAAAGTGGTATCGGGATCTTATTTCTGGGAAAGAATGTTGCAACCTGGCGCCACTATTTTCTTCAAATATCATCTCAACAAAGGTCAGTCAATGCAAAAATGTTGACGAGACATGAATCTGGAACTGAGAAACATTTCCAATTTTGTTAGGAAATAATTGGGTACAACTATAGAATACAGGGCCACTCCATTCCATATCCGCGCATCCATGGCTGCGTGGATGCGCAGTCGGTTTTCTATAGCGCCCTCTTTTGATTAAAATTCACTTCATGCCCACTCCGCATCCGCGCATCCAGGCATCCAATAAAGCGCCCTCTATTGATGTAACTTAACTTCATGCCACCCGTGCATTTCTATAGCGCCTTCTATTGATTGAAACTTACTTCATGCCCACTCCGCATCCGCGCATCCAGGCATCCAATAAAGGGCACTCTATTGATGAAAATTAACTTTATGCCACCCGCGCATTTCTATAGCGCCCTTTATTGATTAAAACTTACTTCATGCCCACTCCGCATCCGCGCATCCGCGCATCCAGGCATCCAATAAAGCGCCCTCTATTGATGTAACTTAACTTCATGCCACCCGCGCATTTCTATAGCGCCTTCTATTGATTGAAACTTACTTCATGCCCACTCCGCATCCGCGCATCCGCGCATCCAGGCATCCAATAACGCGCCCTCTATTGATGAAAATTAACTTTATGCCACCCGCGCATTTCTATAGCGCCCTCTATTGATTAAAACTTACTTCATGCCCACTCCGCATCCGCGCATCCAGGCATCAAATAACGCGCCCTCTATAGATGAAAATTTACTTCATGCAACCCGCGCATTTCTATAGCGCCCTCTATTGATTAAAACTTACTTCATGCCCACTCCGCATCCGCGCATCCAGGCATCCAATAACGCACCCTCTATTGATGAAAATTTACTTCATGCCCACCCCGCATCCGCGCATCCGCGCATCCACGCATCCAAGACAGGGTAGGTTGGGGTTGGTTTTAGATAGGGAAATAAAGTAGTGGGTCTATAGGGTAAATACAGTAAGAGGTCCTGGGGTAAATAAAGCGCCCTCTTTTGATGACTTCATGCTCATCCACCCCGCATCCGCACATCCGCGCATCCGCACATCCACGCATCCAAGACATCCCAAGCCGTCTCACTCGGTGTATACTACGTACTTGTCATTCATTCACTCTCTATACTATAGCGCCCTCAATTGATCACAATTTACTTCATGCTCATTCACTCTTTAACGCCCTCTAGTTTGTTTATACATCTACGTTCATACCGTATACATGTTGTATACCCACGTACGTACGCGTTAACATGGGAGAAGTCTCATATACACCAATGTTGCTTCGTTCTTAGAAGAGTGCCCAACGCAACGTCAACGACCCCACTCCTCACATCGCATCCAACTACCAAAAAAACCCTTTTCCGGCGTGGCCCTGCATTCTATAGTTGCTCCAATAATCGAATTTGAAGTGGCGTCTGGATACTAACATTCTTTTCATTTTGGAACTGGGACAGTTGGCCAACTGTCTTGGGACTGTCCCAGTTCCAAAATGGACTGCCATTTGACTGCCGCCCCTAGCCTAGGGGAGTGTGTTCACCATGCGCATGTACATGTACATTCACAACATGATTGATACCATTTACCACACACAAATAAACTCTAACAAACATGGCCTGAGTGAGGCTGTAATGTAAACAATCATTTAAGCGGACCTAGTGGTAGTACCGGTATAGGACGAAAACGGATTTCGGATCTAATTAAAAGCGATCAAGCGTGACCATGCAAAGCAACGCAAACAAATTGTTGACATGTTCTGCATGCATACACGAACACATGCACATATCGTGACTGCATGATCAACGTGAACTCTTCCTAAAACACAAAGCCTAAATACAATATTCCAGCAGAATGTAATAATGTTCATATTTCAGCACTCTAAGAAATTGATCATTGTTATCATCAAATGTAAAAATGCGGAGAAATCATGATTTAATCTTTGCCTTACCGTGTTATTTTGCGACACTTCTGTACAGGTTCCCAATCGACGATTACAAATAATATGCACACTGTATGTATCATGCATGCATGGCGCGCCGGGCGCGCGCCGTACCCGGTGTTGCGTAGCTTCGATTATGACGTATGGCATATACCATTTATTGAATAGGGAGATTCTCTTTCGTGTATGGTTTTCCACCGATGATATTCTTTTTGTTTGCCCGTATATTTCGTTTTAGACAGCTCAATATGGAATAGAAAGAGAGATAAAGATACAAGTAACACCAAAGGAAACATTGATTATCAAGTAATTACTTGATTTACATGGTCAATTTGAAAATGTTTCTTTAAATTATTGGCGAGGGTCCAAGATTGGGTTTGAAGAATCTACCTACTCGAAGGTAGTTTGGCCTTCGTATAAAACGCCCATTTTTACACCCTTTTTATATTACATCATTTTCTAATTTTCATCAACAAGAGACAGTTTTTGAAACTAAGTCAAGTTGAGTTCCGTGATTCTCCTGGAAAAGGAAATTGGGTCATAATGAGAAAGATGTTCAAGTGCAAGCTGAAGCCTTGATATGGAACGCAAGGTTTTTCCCTTCTTTTTTTCAGAAGGGTATAACGTAAGGCAGGATGTGAGTGAGTTAGGGTATTCTAGGGACAACCCTGCAGAGGAAATACAGAGGACGTGTGGCGCCGGGTCTGCTCTGCAGGGTTGTACGTACCAAAAAAAAGCCGAAAAAAACTTAGTCTCCGGTTTCTGGTATGCGCGCGCGTCGCCGTAGCCATTCGCGTCGGCAAAATGAAAAAGTTTTTTTTTCAATACAAGATGATGTCTCAAAACCGCCAAACTCACTGGTTTGACTGGAATCCTGCTGCTGCACAGTTTTAACGTGTTTTTAGATGGGGTTATGATCGAGAATAAGCTTTATGTGGCCTCTCTGGACTCCCATATATTTCCACTAAGTTTAGTCGGGAACCATTTGCAGTCATCAGCCGACATTTGAAGCAAAAAAAAACAGGTAAAAAAAAAAGCCGCGTCGCCGCACCACTTTTTGGGGCAAGCTCCATACCAGAAACCGGAGACTTTATTTTGGCCTAACCGACCATGTATCACCGTTGCGTTTAACGCAAATTAACCACAGGAGGCGCAGGACAACCCAACTTTGGCCTTTTCAATTTCAAGGACACCCTTTCTTGATCCTAAAAAGAGTAATTGGTGCAAAACGCGCCGATAAGTCAGTCATCGACAAAAAGTGTCTACTACCAAGTTATATTTTTGTATGCATTTTTAACTATCACTTTATAATTGAGGCTAAGAACAAGTTGAGGGAGAGAAATTAGATTGATGACGTCACCAGACCGGAAGTTACAATGTGACGTGACATTAAAGGTCATTTTAAAGCTATTATCTGCGGAACTATTGGCCTGGATCACTCCGCAACTTTCTGCTGCACATCTATGTCTTATCATGCACTTCTTTATTCCTCCATGCTATAACATGACATAAAAATACATAACAAAATGCCGAGACAGCCATATGTGTTTGGTTTGTTTCCACAAACACAAATCTAGTTTTTAGGCATTTTTAACCAGCGTACAAAATGTGGTTCTTCAGCTTCAAATTTTTTTTTATTATTGAGGGGGGGGGGGGGGGTCAACGTTAAAAGTTCATCAGTTCAAGCGGGGTAGGGGTGGAGGTAATTTGAATAGTCGCATGGCCTACAAGCCGCGAGGCCTACGAAACTTCAAAATTCGAGAGTAATGGTGCCAATGTGATGAGGGTCAGAGGTCACGAGATCAGACAGTCTTTATAATCTGAAGTATTAAATGGATTACACAGGTAGAATAACACATGTGACGGGAAGGATTGATAACGGAGCCCCAAAATAGAAAACTGTAAACCGTTAAGCAAACATGGTAATCAATTTAGTTTACTTCCACGCACTCGAGGTTTAACTTAAATAAGTAGGTCATAGACGACCTGTGTGTTAATTGTTACACTGTTTGAATTGTTTGTATGTGTTTATATATGAATATGTTGTAGTTTGAATAATAGCAATTGTAAATATGCTTATACGTCCGACGATTGAAATTTCTGATGGATTTTTTTGGTGGGGGGAAGAATCAATTAAATGATGACACGTTCAATAAACAATAATTGCAATTATTAAAACTAATAATGCATATTTTGGTGACGATTGTGTCTACTTTTTTTAAGTTGAAAGATAGACAAGACGTAGATGTTGTACATTATGTTGCTTTGGCCTAATGACCTATTCCCCCCCCCCCCCCCGCCCCAGGCCCAGGGCCTCCCGCCCCCAACTTTCTCCGACCGATCTCCGGCGTCAATAGTTTTCTGGACTGTTCATGCTACACAGCGCCCTCTACATTTTACAACGAGCAAGTTCGTTTGGCACCCAGACGTCAAATGTATGTGGTCGATGGAAAAGTAAGATTAGGCCTGACTAAAGCACTTACGCTGAAAACGAGTGAAAACGTTGTGCAGTTTGACATTAAATTTTAGGGAAATTTCTTCTTACTTCTGATCTCAAACTATCTTACGATGGATTCGGACAAAGACGAAAAGGAAGATTTTGAGATCACGGACTATGATCTACTTAATGAATTCAACGTTGACAGACCGACAAGGCGAATGACAAAGGCGCAAGCAATTTATGGTAAGATTTTTCACCATTTCCCATAGACTTTGTACACAACCAAGTGGAGGAGGTAACCAAACGCCACACAAAGTGGTTGTGCGCGCACACAAAGTATATATGGTATGGAGCGTCAAGAAATTGGAAATGTTTCTCAGTCCCAGATTAATGTATTTTCCGTAGAGGCACAATTGCAGAATACCCCGCCACTCGATCTATCCACCTCATAGCCGGCTACGAGGTCACGGCTGATTGACCTCAATAAACATTCTCAGCGCTACTTGTAAGTTGTATGTACTATGCCGAGTATGCGTCATGCTCCATTGCACTCCCACTTCGTGACCGCGTAGCCGCCAACAGGGTAGTTGGTTTGGACTTAGAATTTTTTTCAGCAACTCCCATTCCTTTTGTGTTGCTTCGTTCTCATGCATATTCAAGGGGACTCCCACTTCGTAGCCTCGTAGCCGCCAACAGGGTGGTTGGTTTGGACTTAGAATTTTTTTCAGCAACTCCCATTCATTTTGTGTTGCTTCGTTCTCAAATTATGGACCCCCACTCAGTATCCGCTTAGCTGGCAATGGACTTGAATTGTTTCTTTTGCAGTGATTCCAACCTCGTAGCCAGTGATTTTAGGGGTGTATTTCCGAGTGGCGGGGTATTCTGCACTTACTCCTCAGTAGATTTTCACTTCTGCATCCGCTACGTTTTATGAGCTGAAATTGCACCTGCACGTTGTTAAGCACTTATACACTATATGAGCTGACGAGGCTATATCTGCTAAATTGCCATTTGCACAAGACCCGTAATTCTCCAGAAATAAGAGGAAAATTGGAGCCTGAAAAGAACATAAAAAATTTCTAAAATGTCAAAAAAAAGTGTAGTTTAGGCCAAAAAAAAAAAAAAGTCGGTCTATGGTCAGCGCGCGCGTCGATTTTAATCATGCGCGTCGATCTTTTTTTTTTCCAAAATGTTCCGCGATAGCTCCAACAGCGCCCTCTATTTCCGCACCTCCTCAATTTTTTTTACCAAAGAGCACCAAGGAATGGGAAATTGCACCAAGGCAAATGATCGAAAGCACCAAGGCAAATTATGGAGGACACCAATGTACATGAGGACACCAAAAAAGCAAAATAGTACCCACCTTGTCTGTACAATCCAAGCTTGAAAAAAAAAAAAAGCCAAAAAAAAAAAAAAGCCGCGTGGCCGCGTCAATTCCGGAACTTTGGTCTGACCAGAGACCGAATATTTTTTTGGGGGGGCCTTAGCCTGGCCCGGCATCAATCTCTTTAGTAGTTATCGCTCTTACATTGTGTCTTATTGTTTCAAATGTACGGTGGCCCACAACTGTCACGGCAAAAGCAAAAGCGCCACGGCAAGCGCAAAAGCGCCGCGGCAAGCGCAACAGCGCCGCGGCAAGCGCAACAGCGCCACGGCAAGCGCAAAAGCGCCACGGCAAAAGAAAAAGCGCCACGGCAAAACAAAAAGCGCCGCGGCAAAAGAAAAAGCGCCGCGGCAAAACAAAAAGCGCCACGGCAAAAGAAAAAGCGCCACGGCAAAACAAAAAGCGCCGCGGCAAGCGCAAAAGCGCCACGGCAAGCGCAAAAGCGCCACGGCAAGCGCAAAAGCGCCACGGCGAAAGCAAAAGCGCCACGGCGAAGGCAAAAGTGCCACGGGTTTATTGGGAAGGGGCGTAATCATACATGCCGCTACTACATCAAAAAATAAAATGGGAAGGAGAATGGCCGCCACCAGGAATTCTTATTAAGCACAGAATTTAATTCTTTGAGAAGTGATTTTATGGCTGAGAAAATAGCAAGGAAAACCGGTCAGTGCAAGCAACGTTCAGCGAAGAGTTTTGAAATTCCCGCTCTCTGGGAATTTCTAACCTAATGGGCCCGCGGGCGAGTAACGTGTTGACAAGCCTTACCCACCCACTGCCGCAGCCCTGCAGGAGAGCCTTAATCGACTTCCTATAGATGTGTATGATATACTGAAAAAGAAAAAAAAATTAACTCATACACTCTGGGCAGTTCACTTTCGTGCCTACACTGGTATACACACCTGTGAAAAAAGGCTCAAATTAACGGAACTCTTCTCTGCATGCTAGTCGGAAGTGGAAAAAAATGTTTTCAAAAATGCATCAGCTCACAGAGCCTCCCGTCCTTGTAATTGTTTGCATCCCACGAAATGTAAAGAAATGAGGAACGGCCCTGATGGTGCCGATAGCGAGTCCCACTCCTTGATAAACTCTGATTCACAGCAGCAACTCTCTTGGAATAATAATTATCCTACAACAAATTAATATCGACGATTTATTTCCTGACCGGTTTTCCTTGGCCTTGCTATTTTCTCAGCCATAAAATCACTTCTCAAAGAATTAAATTCTGTGCTTAATAAGAATTCCTGGTGGCGGCCATTCTCCTTCCCATTTTATTTTTTGATGTAGTAGCGGCATGTATGATTACGCCCCTTCCCAATAAACCCGTGGCACTTTTGCCTTCGCCGTGGCGCTTTTGCTTTCGCCGTGGCGCTTTTGCGCTTGCCGTGGCGCTTTTGCGCTTGCCGTGGCGCTTTTGCGCTTGCCGCGGCGCTTTTTGTTTTGCCGTGGCGCTTTTTCTTTTGCCGTGGCGCTTTTTCTTTTGCCGTGGCGCTTTTTGTTTTGCCGTGGCGCTTTTTCTTTTGCCGTGGCGCTTTTGCGCTTGCCGTGGCGCTGTTGCGCTTGCCGCGGCGCTGTTGCGCTTGCCGCGGCGCTTTTGCGCTTGCCGTGGCGCTTTTGCTTTTGCCGTGACAGTTGTGGGCCACCGTACAAATGACTTCTTCAATCTGAAGCAAAAGTTATATTTTAATATCCCTAGTTTTCAAGATTGTCAAAAACATTTTGACACAAAACTTACTTTATTAACTGTGTCAAGTTGATGCAGTGTGAATCAACTTCTACTTCACTGAGCCTGTGTTTTGTAAACTTATTTCAAAAATACCCACCGTGTGTTGACAGGTGTTTGGGCTGACAGTGATGATGAGACAGACGAAAGACAAGGGTTTGGTACGACCGGTCAACGTAGCAAACGAGACTTGAACTTCATTAGTTCAGAAATCCGAGGTGGAGAACAGGTAACTTGACCTTACCAGTGGCTGTAATTATATTGTGGTGCTTATATAGCGCTTTATACCAAAGGTCGCAGAGCGCTTTACAATTATTACCCCTGATCATCAGGCCATGAGACCAATTTTTGCAGCAGCTCGAGATTAGCGCGTTCTGGTCTGTACCTTCACGGGTACCCATTTATACTCCTGGATGGAGAGAGGCAATTGTAATAAAGTGTCTTGCCAAAAGAACACAAGCATTATTGCATTAGATTTCATCCTTTTTTTTCTGATTCATGACTTTGGAGAATTTTGGTTTTAAAAAGGAAGTAAAGTCTGCGAACCATTTGGTGACAACTGATGCATATGTGCAGTCATTGACTTCCATAATAATAGCCACAGAGTTTTTATGGTACATTGTAAAGTTGTTTTTATTGTCACTGCATGAATTAACTTTGTAAGAATCAGAGATTACTACAGAGATTGTCCATGCTCAATAGGTCTTCAACTTTGTAGGAACAGAAAGTTGTTGGTACATGTATGTAAAGCATTGAGAACAACCTTTATTTTTTAAGGTTTTGTTAGATCACCGAGAATGTTACATTTCACTTTATTGTAACAGTGTAACATCTTATTTTTGCATTCATTACTTACTGATTATTTTAAATGGATGACTTTTTTTTATTTGCTCAAAACAGAAAGATGACAAGCAGGATGACAAAGCCTCCTCCATCTCATATCAGCTGCCCCTGCGACCCGAGGGGTCATCCAAAGGTCAAAGTTCAAAGGTCATGACCAATGCTCAGAAGTCGCACGCCAGTCTGATGAAATCTGACAAGCAGTTTGGCAACTGGCAGAAGCACACGAAGGGCATTGGTCAAAAGCTGCTGCTTCAGGTGAGGTCTTTGTAATGAACAAATAGTTAACTATTTCATACTTGACGTCGAGTATATCGTCGATACGTGGAAGAAGGTCGTAAGGGAAAAAAAACGGGTCAAACGGCCAAATTCAGGTTTTGAGGATAATTGACTGAGCACTGAAATATATTTATTTGGTAGCAAAGTTTATTCCCAGCAGAAGGTCGCAATGATCCAATATGCCACTTATAAGCACACATCTAAGCCAGGAGGAATTCCTGGCAAAAGGCCGTTAACATTTAAATAAATTGAAAAATAAGTAATATTTTTAAAATAAAAAATGCACGATATTATTCAAATTATTTTAATTATTCAGCATTCAAAATTTCAGACTAATGTGAGTCAGAAGTGGGAGCACAAAATTTTAAACTCGATAATATGTATCTCAAAAAGTGTTGTTTTTTTTGCCGTGTCTTTGCTCCTAACGTCCTTTTCATTGGCACACAACGAATTATGTGGGTTGGTACTTTGCAAGGATCAAATGTTTGGTAGAAATTTCTCTTGAGTCTCTTTCAATCAGTCACTCCTATCACAGTAGTAAGTTGCTGTTATTTGGTAAAGCTAAGTTTTTTTCTTGAAATGGTAAGTTTTGTTTTGAGGCACACTGAGCCAACTAGTATCAGAAAACCAGGTTTCATGTTATTCCATTTCCTTCCCTTTTAAACCAATCATATTTCAAGTGATACACATGAAATGCTGAATATAAAAGTTTGCTGAAAGTTGCTAGCATGAGACCACATTTAAAGAATTTGTAAAGAATTTGTTTGGAATTAAACATACAAGTTGAAATTTTATGAATGGAAAAAAGAACTTGTTGGAGAGCACAGGAATGCAACTTTTAAATTTTTAACATTCTCAAGTAACTGGATGTTACAGTGTAAGCAGTCTACCCATTTTGATTAAAAGTGGATTAAATGATGTGCAACCAACTCATTTCTTTTAAGTACGAAATTAAGAAATATACTTTTAAAATTTTAATATTTATAATGTAGCTCATACCAGTTCTACTTCTTTTTGACTTGCTGTGGGCTTGCTAAGATTTTAATTAATATGATTTGTGTCTTATTTTCTCAGATGGGTTACATCCCAGGCAAAGGTCTGGGGAAAGCCAACCAAGGTATCGTCCGACCGGTGGAAGCCACCAAGCACAAGGGGAAGGGGGCCGTGGGTGCCAACGCCACGTCTCAGTACGTGGGGAGACGGGGCGGCCGGGAGCCAGAGGCTGTGGATTCCGAAGAGGAAGAAGATACGCAGTTTAGAGAGGAGCTTGCACGGTGGAAGAAAGGAGAGGTGAGGGTCATGTATGGGGATTGTGCGTAAACTCAAGAGGGCGGTCTCTAGCCTGACAAAGAGAGTGAATTAACCCTAACTCCCTGGGCCCTGTTGGCTGGGAACCATCCTCATTCCTGGAAAAATCCTCCAATTGCCACTATGTATTAAAATTTGATTCAGCCTCAATCCTCCAAAATCATCCGTTATTTCTTGAATTTATTCTGCTGAGGGGTGACCACTGCCTCAATGGGCCTTATTCATATTGAATTCATATTGAATTGAAAGTTAGGTAAAATGTTAATTTTTTGAACTTGCGAAGAGAAATGAAAGCAATTTAATTTATAATCAATTCCAGTGTGCCTCAATAAATAATTTAAAATTGGTAATTAAACATTTTCTAATGTTTAAAGCCATATTGAAAAAAAAAATGACAGTAAAATAAGGCTGCATTGTGCCTGTATAAATAGTCTGGCGCCATCCAATTCAACAGTTAACAATTAATGAAATACATTCAGGGAACTCGACAAAAATGGCCAACTTGTGAATAAGGCCCATACTTTAAAATCCTCCGACTCACTTTTACACACGTTGGAGCAGTGCGGATGATATGTAGAGTAACTTGGGGATAATTTATGCATGGCTAACATAAACAAGGGAAGGTATAAAAGCTGAAGACATTGACACTGTGCATCCTCCAAAATCGACTGGCACTAAAATGGCATAAAGCCTCAATTTTTTAAAATCCTCCAAAACTGCCTGGTTGATTTTGGAGGATTGAGGAGGGTTGGAGTTAAAAGAAAAATGTTGAGCCATTTGCACAATTACTTTCACATCAGTAGTTTCCATCAATAATGAAACGTACCATGGGGTCAAGTTCCATTATTGTCCACAAAAGTAGTGAAACTATTGTGCATTTAGTAAAGTTATTTAAACTTTGGTTTAGTCATAGTTAATGCTGGAACTACTCACAAGTGAAAAAAGACTGGTTCCCCATCCTAAATTGTACTGTACTTTTTGAAAGGAGAGGGTAAGAACTAGTCTACCACTGAGGATGTTTACATCGCTGGTTCATTATAATGTGAAGAATGCTGAACATGGTTAACCAAGTGCCCTACATTGACAATGATGTTTGGCATTTTGAGAAGAATATAGAAATAAGTTGATGTGAATGAAACAAATTAAATTACATATGATAAAGGATAAAAAAAACTTGCTTGATGTTCTGTTGGCAAAATTTTGTCAAAAATAATGGATCGTTTCCTATCCAGATTTCATGGCTGCTTTCATTTTTGCAACCAAGAAGTTTATAGGAAAAGTAAAAGTCTGAACAATTTCCTTTTCCTGATATTTAGGTCACAATGCAGAAAACCAAGTACGTCTACCGCACCGTCGAAGAGGTGAAGAAGTCAGCCCACCTCACGAAACGGAAAAAAGCCGACCCGACCGCCCGAGGCGTGAAAGTCATAGACATGACGGGTCCCGAGCAGCGTGTGATGTCTGGATACAGTCACCTGGGCAAGCAACACGATAAGCCCACGGAGAGGTTAGAGGTCGAGGGTATGGAAGGGAAGAAGTCAGCGTTTGAGATGCCGGAGTTGGAACATAATCTTCAGCTTCTGGTGGAGATGGCCGAGCAGCAGATCATTCAGCATGACAGACAGTGAGTTAGGCTTTCTTGCAAATTTTGATAAATAATTTAATTATTTTAATTTTTTTTCTTTCTTATTTTAACTGGGTAGCCCATTCAGTGGAATCCACTGGTCTCCCATGGGGTCCACTAAAGAGAAAACAATGTGAAGAAATTAAAGTTTTGGAGGTGGAAAGAAAACCCCAGAATATTCTGAGGAAAACCCACGGTATCAAGTAGGGACTAAAAACCCAATCCACATATTGACCAATGCAGGAATTGAACCTGGGTAGAATTCTTAAACATTCTCAAAAATTTACCGTCTCTTTTCCGTCAAACCTTACTTGAAACAGTTTGCAGTATTTTCGGAAGGTCATGCCCGGCCAATGTTATTGTACAAGGGTTTTTGCTCGCCCTAAAGAGTGAAAGTTTGAAGAAAACTCTGTGGGGTTTAATACAGGGTTGATCTTCGAAGAGTCCTAGCAAAAAGTGCCGTGGGAGGGTTAACTGTGTTATTTGAAGTTACAACCTTCTCTAACCTTTAAATGCCTTGGCATAAATAGTCAACAATACTGTCATATTGCTGAATTCTCCTATAATAAATTCTGCAGTACCACATTTTTGGACTCGGAATGTTTTTGTACAATCCTACAATGATTGTTTTTTTTTCCATAGCAAAGTTCCACTGTGAGAAGTTTTCCATCCAGTGATGTTAAAATCTCAACACCTGACTTACATGTATGCATTTTAACCTCATATTGTGGAAAGGAATGTTACAAATTGTCAACACGAGGCAAACAAATTTGTTGACAGGAACACAGATTAGGCTTTTAGTCACTGCACTGCTCTAAACTGCCCTGCCTACTAATCCCTGTACTGTCCCAAAGTGCTCAGCACTGTATGGTGTTATGGATTCATCCGAAAATAAATACACAGTTAAACAATGTAGTACAGGTGCTAATTATCCCTCCCCCTCTCGAAACACCCCCTCCTGAACACCCTACAACCCATCCCTCCACCTCCTTCTTCATCTGTTTCCTCCAGATTACACCATGAAGAGGACATGGTCGTCAACCTCCAACACGAGCAGGGCAAACTGCGAGCTGTCTTGAACCAGGAAGAGAGACAGATCTCCCACCTCGAGAAGATCATGGAGATCGTCGAGCAGTGCGAGGAACGGTCCAAGCCGGGATGCCCGAACCCCTTATCCTTGGAGGAGTATGAGGACATCTTTAAGACGTTACAGACCGACTATCGGGAGGAGTACAGAGCCTTTGAGTTGTCGCAGCTTGCCACAGTGAACGTATTACCCTTGGTAAGATATTAAAATGGAGTTTAAATGTAAATGGTATTTGTTATAAAGAAATAAAAAGCAACTGCAAAAAACCTCTTGCACTGAAGTGAAGGCTGTAAAAGGTAGACAGCTTGACAACTTCATGCTCGTAGAAATTATTCTCAAAGGCAAAGAAGATTTGCCTTTTTTGTGAAACAATCTCCTTAGATTGAAATGTCAGGTCCTTAAGCTTTAATATATAGGTCTCTCTCAAAGACGGTCATCTCTGTAGGAGAACTGCAACTGCGTATTTTACGCAATCAAGCACGCATTGTGCAGTGTTGAAAATGTTCCAAACACTCGCACTTGTTGCTCGAAATGTGTTTGAAATATGTCGCACATCGGCTGCGTTATGCAAGTTGACGCTCAAAATGCCGATGCACATGGCTGGTCTGTAGGAAATGACGTCATTAGAGAGAGGTCTACACAGGTATTTTGGTGAACTTTCAGCATGGATCCAGATTTGGAACTTGACAAGTTTAGAAAGTGACCGCGATGCTCGCATTATAATTGCTTGCATTACTCCTCTAACATAAGGTGTTTTTCTCTATCAAAATTTTCATTTTGGGGGGGTTAAATATATATACATGTAATTACTTAATTTAACTCTAAATAAAACTACAGTGAAATCTTGATACATGTGAGTCAAAACCTGCTAATTAGAAAACCCATCTAACTCAAGGTAAGAACTCATTCCCGTCAATTGTTGTTGAAAAGAAAATCCATTGGATGACTCAAAACTCTGCTCAACTCAAAATTTTAGCCCATTCCCTGATGATTGACTTATCGAGATTTCACTGCGTATTTGATGCCACATACATGACAACACTACAACATTTAACAATTGTTGACTGGTGTGATGTGGGATATGATGTTTTGAACACCTGAGGGGCGCATAGCACCCGAGGCGAAGCGCCCCTCGGGTGTTCAAAACGTCATATCCCACATCACACCAGTCAACAATTGTTTTGTTATACAGGTATGTCTTGGATTTTTTGGATTTTGATGTAAAAATCACGAAAACAAACAGCAATAAACTCAACAGTCGTCATGACTGTCAACTCACACGCATGTCGCATACTCGAAACAGCTGATAGTCTGTAAGTGTTGCTGCGTTTTACGTGTGAAACGCGTACGTACTGTACGCACAAAGTCATAGCACACTCCCTGTGGGATATCATGTACGTGATATCCCATAGGGAGTGTGAGATTACTTTTTATAAACTAAACACGTGATCGATACAGGCCAATGAAAATACAGTATTCAAGACAGAGGTATAACAATTTTGGTTGTTACACACACTGTAAAACATTTACTTACCACATACGCATCACAGAACAGTCCAAAACCGCTAGTGAGTAAGGGTTAATGGACCAACAAACTTACTTCTTTCAGATAAAGAAAGAACTGACGTCTTGGGACGCACTCAGAGACAGCAACAAACATGTAGACCTCTTCAAGAAGTGGAAAGACATGCTAGACTCCGACGACAGCCGCTTCTTACTTCCCAACGGCAAGACCATGACAGTGTATGAGAGATTATCATGGGAAATCTGGATGCCGCAGTTCAGACGGGCCATCACCAACTGGAATATGAGGGAATGTGACCCAATCATCGGTAAGTGTTTTTGAACAAAAGTACTAACGATTGTGACAGTGTTTGTAAATTGTTGACTCAGACAGTCAAGTCTTTCGGCACTAGTTTGTGCATGAGAATTGGCAACAGTCTGATTGAATTTTTTTTCTGATCATGCAAAAAAAAAACCTGTCAGGTATTTAAAGGCATGTAAGAAAGCATTTAAAATAACCTGTGAAATTATTCCACCTGTAAATGGTATCATTCAGAAGAAAACTATCTTTGAAGGTGCTTTAAGAAAAAAAAGTGCCCGTGGACATTACATGCTATCTGGATCGCTGGATTTGGATCGTTATACACCGACAAAATGGCTACCTGCATCAAATCTGAGTTTATGACCTAAGGCCTTTTGATGACTGGACAGGAGCAGACAATTTACTTGAGGTGGCTCCTTGCAGCAGATTTGAAGCTGTTATAGTCGGTGATGTCTAGGAACTTTAGCATCAGAATTCAGTTACGAGAGCCCAAAAATTATCATACGTTTCCTCTGTTTTTCTAAAATTGTATAGTATCCACTGAGCTGAAACTTCACCATATTAGTTGTTATGCGCCCTTTTAAAGATTTTGAGCATTTTTGCACAGAGCTGTGTTTGGTCTAAACATCATGGAGTAAGATAAATTTGCATTCATCAACTCGATTTTTGTCATTTTGCTGAGTCCTTCGTCCAATTCTTTTCATCCAGACCTTCTTGAGAACTGGCTGCCCCTGCTACCTCAGTGGCTTCTCAACAACATCTTAGATCAGCTGATCTACCCGAGACTTCAAGAAACTGTGGATGAATGGAACCCACTGACTGACATCATCCCGATACATGCCTGGCTACACCCGTGGCTGCCTCTGATGGGTCAGTATGTCTTTTTCATCCCTAAATGAATTTGCATTTTTATTAGGCAACTTCTTGAATCCTCCAGAATCCTTCACCTTGTGAGAAACCAATTGTAGGAAACCAATGTCACATAACTTATTGACTTCAAGGGGCGTATCGGGAGTCTTCGAAACTGTTGTTTTGTCTTCATCTTCAACTTTATCTCTGACCTCTGCATCACAGGGAAGCAAACCACAGAAATGGACGTATTTTAACTTTGGCCTTACATCATATGACTCAATGTTCCTGAAGCAGAACACGCACCATGCACAGACAAAGACAAAGGCAGGAGTTTTGAAAAAGCCCCTAGTTTCTTGTGACGTAGCAGTGGCTGGGCTCTACCTTACTCAGTCCATCAAAAATCTCTCAAAAATTAGTTAACATGCAGTAACCATCATCATGCAACACAGTGATTTTGTATTCAAACAAAATAGGACACCAACTCCTATATAAGTAATGGTAAATCTGCACAGTCCTGAATATGTGAAAACTCTGCACTACGAGGAATTTGATTTGGGGAGTTTTGGGATGTTTTATTTAAAGCGTTTTTTTTTGAGGTCCCTCTATGGCTAAAGTTCACCACAGGCTTATATATGTAAACTTCACTACAGATTTATTTAGAAAACGTACAACCAGACAAACAAAACATTTCATGACATGTGAATTGCAATTCATGAATTTCAAAGACAATGAATTTTTTTTTCTGAAATTATTGTTAGAAACCTGAACAGTTGACCTGAACACAACCTTTGGGACAAACTGTATTTTTATTTTAGAAGTTTCCATGAGTTGAAAATTCTGGGTTTTTTTCTACTCTTTCACAGGTGATAAGTTGGAGCCCTTGTACATTCCCATTCGTCAGAAGCTTGCCAGGGCGCTAAGCAACTGGCATCCCAGTGACTCCTCCGCTAAGACCATCTTGATTCCCTGGAGAAGGGTCTTCTCTCGGGGGACGTTTGAAGCCTTCCTGGTCAGGAACATTGTCCCTAAGCTGGCTGTTTGCTTGCAGGAGTTTGTGATCAACCCCTACGACCAGCATCTTGGTAAGTGTTAGTATGAACACAGCCTCAGTGTGTCTCACTGTGCTGTGGACCCCAAGAACGAGTACACAATCACTGGTTGCAGAAAGAGAATAAGACGAGGGACTCTCTCACATAGACAGGTCTCAAGTCTACTGAGCGTGACCTCTGCTGACCTCTGGAGTGTAGTACAGTAGAACATTTGACTTCACTGAACATTCTCTTTGGCTCCTACATTGAATATGTAAAATTACACTGAATAATTTTCCGAAAATGCATTTATATTGTTCATGTTGTCTTCTCAACTGCATTTGAATATCAAAAAAACTTTAAAAATATCGTCGTCAATTCTGGTAGACCGGTTCTTGTCGCTGTAAAGATAACTCCAAGAATAATAGAGGGATCGGGAACCAGTCGACAATACATTTATGTACTTTTCTACTCAATAACCATGGTAACGTAAAAATGACAAGTATAATTCAGTAAACTTGGTGACTCTGAGAATTGAATTCAATCACAGTTTGCATTCATACCTTTTTGTCATTATTTCAGTCTGTACCACAGATATTATTATTTCTAAAATTAAGATGCACATACAGTTGCCTCTGTCATACAGAGCTGATAGTTTTGTGGTCACTTAAATTTTTTTTTTTGAGACCCCTTTGTTCTGAACCTGCCAGAATCTTTATTTTTTTGGTTAATCTCAGAGCCCTACCGATGGGTGATTGACTGGGAGGAGTTACTACCGACCCCGACCCTGGCCAGTCTGTTTGAGAAACACTTCCTGCCCAAGTGGCTGCAGGTCTTGTGTTCCTGGCTGGGGAACAACCCTGACTACGAGGAAGTCAGTAAATGGTATCTGGGCTGGAAAGGACTTCTGCCTGAACGGATACGAGAGGAGCCGGCCGTCAAAGGTAAGGGCTGAATTTTATTGACCGGCTCAGCAACTAAAACTAAATGAGAATCTAAAAATGTTGCTCGGCAGAAAAGGTTACTTGCTGCAAATACAATGTGCATTTCCTGTGACTGGTTGTCATTTATGTTGGATAAAATTACTTCTATTATGGAAGAAAATTTGATGTTGTTAAACAGTCTTGGTTAAATTCGTCGGAGTTGAATTTTTTTTTTCTTCAAAATCATAAAAGCAATACTTATTGTATTGTAATTTGTGTTCGGATTTTGCTTTTTACGCCGAGTAGGAACTGGCTTCAACTAATTATGATAGCATTCTGGAAACTTTGAATTCACTATTACACCTTTTGATTCAGGGCCGTCGCTAGAGGGGGGGGGGGGGGGTGACACCCCCCATTCAAAATTTCTGTCGGCAAATCCACAATTGTTTTCGGAAAATTTTAAAAATTGAGGGCCTCTTTTATGTTATTTTACCATTGTCTGCAAATTTTGAAATCTGAGGACCTTTTTTTTTTTGCTTGTCAAATATTTCGTTGCAAGTTTGTCAGCAAATTTTACTTTTCACACCTCCCATACATTTTTCTGTTGGTAAATTTGAGGACTTTTTGGGTTTTTTGTGCTTGTCAGATTTTTTGTACACAAACTTGTCGGCAAATTTGGTCCGACAACCCCCCCCCCCCCCCCCCATTGAAAATGTTTTGGCGACGCCCCTGTTTTCGTCAATGAAACTCGCAAAATTTGAGAATCACTAATAATTTGTTATTTTTTGTTATTTTTGTTTGATTCTCACACTGTTATGCAGTGTACTTGAAGGATGCACTAGATGTCATGAACCAAGCAGTCTCGGGTTCACATCCCGTCAGAGAAGCCGACAGCATGGCTTACGTCAACAGCCTACGTCAGCAGAGGGAAGCAACCAGCAGCAACAGATGGGAACCAGAGCCACAGGTTAGTTGGTTATTAAACCAGCTTAGCATGGGCCCAATATGCTGGTTGCTGTGTTGCAATGGCGATCTCTCTGCTCAAGTAGTTCTTTGGTTGTGGCTTTGACATTATCAAATTGGGGGACATCCTGGGCCAAGTTCGGGCAAGGACCATTAGTTAACTAGTGGTTGGTTTGTGACGTACCTTACGCCTGCGCACAAATAGCAACGTGCGAACGTCTGTAGTCAAACGCTGGTCAAAATGTCATCGCAAAACTTCTGGATCCTGGCTCCCTGCTGTACGTTATGAATGCGCACGGCTCTTGGTTACCAGCGAGGCAACCAGCCCCAGTAGGTTGGTTCCAAATAGTCGACTAGCGTAGTCAACCATCGTCGACTAGACAGAGTTAGGGCTAACTTTAGTCGATCTATGGTTAACCATTGGTCAACAATTGGTCAACAGTAGTTCTTGCGCAAACTTGCCCCAAAATATCTATTATGTGTACAAGTGCTCCCTCAACGGTTACGAAGGGAGAGTTTGGGGAGACCACTAGGAGAGACATTCAAACACTATGCCGACACTGCCTAATGCTCACGCGAAGACGCTGTGAGTTAGTTTGTGCAAATTCGGAATACAATTGGCCATGCGTGCACGAACCAGTAAAGACAATCTGAATTTTGCTGTTCTTTTTCCAGCAGGCAAGACAGACAAGTGTCCCAACTATATCTGTGCCCACCAACTTCAGGGACCTGGTCGAAAAGAAGGTAGGCTACTTGAAAGTTGATAATTTTGACTGAATAATTTTTGACAGGGAGAGTGCTTGTATTACAAATAAAGAAGCAGATCTGATTGTATCAAAAAAATGCACAATTATCTTAGGCTAAAAAAAAAAGTCTCCGGTTTCTGGTAAGGAGCTTGCCCCAAAAGTGGTGCGGTGACGCAGGTTTTTTTTTTACCCAACTTTTTTTCTCTTCAAATGTTTGCTGATGTTGCAGATGACGCTTCGCTCCCCTTAAAACTCTCAAAATATCCTTCAGAGTGCAGCTTGAGGTGACCCCCATTAAGGCCATAAGGCTTGGGAAGTATATTGAGCTAATTAAAAGCGTCTACAGGTTCCAGATACACAACCATCGCTCCGTCAGTCTGGCTTCCAGATGCACAATTACAAAATTACTACGTCTGCAAATGGTACCCGACTAAATTTAGTGCAAAATATATGGGAGCCCAGAGAGGCCACATAAAGCTTATACTCGATCGTAACCCCATCTAAAAACACGTTAAAATTGTGTAGCAGCAGGATTCCAGTCAAACCAGTGAGTTTGGTGGTTTTGAGACATCATCTTACATTGAAAAAAAACAACTTTTTAATTTTGCCGACGCACATACCAGAAACGGGAGACTTTTTTGGGGGTCCTTATGGAGTGGAATTTCAGGAAGGGGTTATTAAACCTTCTCCAAAGAAAAATTGTGGTACACCTTTTTCTGGCTTTGTCCATGAACTTTTCACAGCATCCTTTCATGCGGGTGAAGTATCAAGTGCCTTACCAATATGATACAGATTCATGTAATCCAGTCAATCACAAGTACTACGGTACAGACAATAGCAATACAATGCGTTTGGCTTGGTGCATTTGAATACCTTACGACTTGACTTGAGACTGGATGACTGGTGATGACCTGATGATCTTCTTTTTTTTTGCTCGTGTACTTTTCATGAATGTGAGTATGAGTACTGCAGGGATGTAAGTGACCACTGATAAAAATAGCTGAAAACCGCTGAAAAAAGGTGTAAAAAAGCTGAACTTTAGAAATCTCCTATACTTTTGTACACAGCAAGTGAGGGAAAAGGCTGGAAAAAAGCTGAAATCCAAAACAAACAAAAAGCTGAAATCAGCTTTAAAGCTGAGATTTCACACTGACATTGTACGCAAGTATGAGTATTGCAACGTTGGTTGTAACCGATAATGTGGTTATTATGTTGTTTTGCAGGCATCAGAGAACAACCTCGTCTTCCTTCCCACCAACCGCCGACACGAAGGCAAGAACGTCTACATGCTGGGCCCACTCAATATCTACATAGAACGATCCGTGGTTTACGTACACCAAGGACATGTATGGACGCCCATGGGGTTACAGACAGCCATTGAATTGGCTCAAAATATGGCTTAAGTTAGGGGAAGCCGTTATGTGAGCTATGGACTTTTTGCGCAAGTACCCTGCATGGAGGCACAGAGATGTGACAAACACTTGAATGCTGTTTATGCCAAACTACCGTTTTCATCTGGACATTCAGATTAAAAGTTGTGTGTTGTGTGCATGCATTGAGCCACCCACAGTGGAGACCACACAGAGTTTTCACACATTACCATCTACAATAACCGTAGCTGTTATCAAAGTCTGTTAACTTTGCAATCCTCTCCGTTAGGCTTGTGCGACATTGGATTTTGAGGGTCGACGGTATACTGTCACCAAAATGGTATACCGTCACCAAAATATCGCGGTATTCGGTATTATCAGGTACTTTTCTGGGTAGACTATTACGTTATCGAAATACAAGAAGATACACGATGATATGGAAACTGCAAACAGGCAGCATGGGCTAGCTGGACTAGTCGGCAGAATCTGGATACGGTGACCACAAGGAATTTAAACCGTTATCAGTCCAGTGCAGACCTGGCCAAGTTGTTTCTGTCACCTTTATTTTGAAAGTGTTTTTGCACACATCTGGCCACATTCAAACGTAGGAACTGCGGTAATGAAATTCCATACCGAGGTCGTCGATTTTCTGTATGGCAACATAATTCAGTTTTGTTCAAAAAAATATCGTCACTTCACGTTATTATTGAAATATAGCCCAAGCCTACTCTCCGTCTGTTGCATGTTAATCCTCAGCAACTGACTAGATGTAATTTAATACAAATATTACATGGTTCTCTGCCGTTTAACAGAATGGCTAGTTTACAACTTGCTATAGGTGAGGGGTTGTATAAATACACCAAGTTCTCTAAACATTGTATAACTCGCATTTGTTATGAGTACTGTAATAAAAATGTGAATAAAACAGCTTTAATAATAAGGACAATTCGGCAGCTTCTCCCTGTGTATTTTTTTTTTACACATCATGGTGTAAACAAGATTGTTATACCTCTGTTTTGAATACTGTATTTTCATTGGCCTAGGACAATCACGTGTTAAGTTTATAAAATGTCATGGCACACTCCCTGTGGGACGTGATATCCCACAGGGAGTGTGCTATGACTTTGTACGTACAGTGTGAAACGCTTGTATCGTTGGTACTCACGCTATTTTCACCATGTTTTCACACATGAGTGGGAACAGCGAACTAGCAGACGATCGACATGCGACATGCATGTGAGTTGACGTTCGATTGTCATGATTGTTGTGTTTTAATACTGCTGTTTGTTTTCATGTCATATCCCACATCACAGCAGTCAAAAATTGCTAATTGGCTTGATTCCAGTTTTACCCATTAGCACTTGTACTACATTGTATTACATTGTGTTTATTCATTGAACAATCAATAAAACCATAGAGTGCTGAGGTGGTTTCGGGCGCTACAAGTGACTTAAGAGTTATCACAAAATGTTGTCATTCTCTACTTAAGATACTAGTGAAACAACAGGCAAAATGGGTCACAAAGCAGAAACATCTATCCAGATAATTTTATTATCTAGTTTCAGGCTATCTTGACATTTTATATACACGGCCGTCTAAAAAAGAGGATATTTACAACTGAAAACTTTTTTTCTGGTTTTCCTTCATAAGATACAGAATTAAGAGAATTTCAAAAAGGGACCAGCTTTTTAAAAAGTGGCGTCTAAAGTTGACAAAAGCCACTCTTAAGCCTTTTTTGTTTTTATGCCGTTGTGGATTCAATAAGGTCCCACAGATAGTTGGTGATGAAGAATTTGGAGTTCTGGCGGCTATCCAGAGAAAACGGTCTGACGTCCTTGGAAGTCGAGATGTCTGGTTACATTAAGTCAAGGAATTCACTTAAAAAAACCTCAAACATAATAAATTTCATGTTGGATTATTTTCTTTTTGAGGAATTGACTGAAAAGTCCTGGGATATCCAAGATATGTCGGTTGATAGTTTCTCTTCTAGCTCCGAGTCCGAAGTTTTAATTTTCAAATCACTCGATGTGCTTAGAAAATCCGATGTGTTTAGAAAAAGTATCTATGTATATAAAAAATATATATACACACGAATGTAGATACATTCATTAGAATATGACATCTAAAAACATCATTGCTCCACTCACTGCCTTTAAAAAAAAAAGAAGGAACATTCAATATTTGGAAAAAAAACAAAGTCTTGCACAAAAAATGGCCAACTTCTATGGAACGCCAAAGAGGCATTTAATGTGATCATCGAATCGGTGATACACTTTTGCAATCGGTGATGCATATTCACGATCGGTGATGGACTTTCGCGATCGGTGATGGACTTTTACTGGTGATGCATATTCACGATCGGTGATGGACTTTCGCGATCGGTGATGGACTTTTACTGGTGATGCATATTCACGATCGGTGATGGACTTTCGCGATCGGTGATGGACTTTTACTGGTGATGCATATTCACGATCGGTGATGGACTTTCGCAATCGGTGATGGACTTTCACTGGTGATGCATATTCACGATCGGTGATGGACTTTCGCGATCGGTGATGGACTTTCGCGATCGGTGATGGACTTTCACTGGTGATGCATATTCACGATCGGTGATGGACTTACGCGATCGGTGATGGACTTTTACTGGTGATGCATTTTCACGATCGGTGATGAACTTTCGCAATCGGTGATGGACTTTTACTGGTGATGCATATTCACGATCGGTGATGGACTTTCGCAATCGGTGATCAACTTTGCAATCGGTGATGGACTTTTGCAATCGGTGATGGACTTTTGCGACCGATGATCAACGACCCATCACCGATTGCAAAATCCATCATCGATCGCCAAAGTGCATCAGTTATTGAACTTGCATGCCGCTGTGACTTAGGGTTTCTCGTGTTGCCCCTAACAGTGATATTTGTTTACGGTGTTTTTGTGTTTGAAAGTGTCTTTCTCATATGTGAACTGCATTTTTTAAAAATTAATGTGCGTAAAATGTTTGTTGTTGGTGTATGCCGCTGTGGCTTTGAGCTTTGGTGCTGCCCATATTGCAACCGGTAAATGCCCAATCGATGGTATCCGGAATAAAAACACTCCTCTGTGGATGTGGCATAAACACAATGATTTGTTTTTATCCAATAAATGGTAAAAAGTTTTTTGCACCTGATGATTGATGGGTGGGCCATCGGAGACAGCATATGGCGGGGTTATTGGGGGGCCTGACCAGGCATCCAGGGGCCACAGGAATGCAATCACATCATCATCATCATCATCATAAATCCATCTAATAGCCAATCTTGGTATAGATATGTGGGGCCCTCTGGTCACTTAAGCACACTTAAGCGAGCACATGATGGACAGTACACAGAGGAACTTTCCTTGCAAATGTTTTTCCACCACCACCCCTTACATCCGCCAGTTATAGTGCTCCAAGGTTTCAAGAGACTATACAAATTACAAGGATTAAAATGTTCGCAATGTTTAGGATACAGACAGCCTGCTCCTCATATTTATGGGGCAAATGGAACCATTCAATCCATTGTTTTTCTATTTTGTTAGGCTAATTTGATACTTGCCGTAGCGATCTCAGTGTGTCACGAGGCTATGATGTTTTCCTGACTGAATGTACATCTGTGGGAAGCTATTTTTTGTTATTCAAGTTTAATTTGCATTTGTTGTCATTTATTGCCACATATATCTCATTTTCATATAGGCCTACATGTATTTCATTTATTGTCAAGCATATTGTGTATGCCGTGGCTTTGAGTTTCTTGTGTTGCCCACTACTGGTCGGGCCTGGTGTTGCCCCTAAATTGTGTTAATACGGTTATATGTTTTATAATATGTCCGTTCTCACTTACGAACTCCATTTTTTGTAATGTCCGTGAAATGTTTGCAGTTAGTGTATGCCGCTGTGGATTTGGGCCTTTGGTGTTGCCCATATTACAGGGAAAATACAACATTTGCAAACATCAAAAAATACAACTACCAAATCATTTTGAAATACCTTGCTGGACTGTTAGTGAATGACAGTGTAAAGCATCCTGTAAAATTGTGGCACCTGGTATACTGTCATTTTCAAGAAAAGTGGTATTTTTGTATCAATTTCCAACGCTGATCGGCCGATCAGCGTTGGAAACAACTGGCTTTTTTTTCAAATACTGGCCCCAATTGACCATCGCACTTGTTTGCAATCGATTACAAACCTATGAACGGGCACGAGCCAGCTAGACTGGTTCCCTAACCTTACAATTCCCCAATGTATGTAAATTGCTCTGTTTCTTCTTATATGGAGTCAGGGAACCAGACTACAGGAAAATGATCGTTTTTCTTGGTTTATAGCATTTTCGAACCCAAAACCTCAAAAAAGTCAGTGTAACTATATTTGCAATATATATCCAACCCCCCAATGCCATCCATTTCTGAAAATTACAGCAAAAGCAAATGATGTATATTCCCTTTAACATAACCATAACAATTAACAATTCAAACGGTATATGCCATATCACAGGTATCCGGAATAAAACACTCCTCTGTGAATGTGGCATGAACAGAATGATTTGTTTTATAATAGGCCTATACCCTTCGGGAGACACTTTAGCGTCACACATTTAGAGGCAAAATATTATCGTCGCAAATAGACTCGATTGCTCGTGGTCGAATTAGTAAAAATTACCCGGCGAATTAAGGTAAAATTGGAGTTACGGGTCATTAAATTTGGGGGGAAAATGTGTGCACTAGTTTATGGGAATGTTCCCCAAATAGCCAATTATGGGTTATTATAAGTTATTATTTTTTATCAATATTATTATTAACATTATTATTATTTGGGTTGATTATCACCATCAAGCAGCTCAGACGCTGAATTGCACAGTGATTTACAGTAAAAATTAAAATAAATTAAAAATAAACACATTTCACGAGAAATCGAAACACATACAAAATGCACAACAATCCATTATTCTCAAAAACATATACACTCGGATAATAGCAATTAAAATTGTATACATTTGAAAATCCTATGTTGAACTATTGAAAAGTCTGGGCTATTTCGAAATCTCTTGGATGAACTGGGATACTCCTTGAGTGTTCTACTCGATCTAAGATTCATAGTGTGCCAACTTTTTGATTGAGGAAACCACTCATTAAATTTGCCTGATTTAAAAGCACCTAGAGCAAAGTTTGTACACATAGTGGTTCTTCTATCATAAAGGTGATCCAGAGATAGAGTAATACAGCAAACTCTTTTGGATCGACTAAATTAGATTGGTCTGTTTGAGTGTAATGCTTGAGTGCCAAACCGGCGATGCGTTTGCTAGGACTGGTCTAACATAGGGTAACAAGTTCTTAGAGTAAAACCAGTTTCTTTCAGTTTCCTGAACATGAATAATTTTCTATTAGCTTTACCAATCATCTCAGCAATGTGTTTCTCATGTCCTTAAATTTGAGTCCGAGTATTTTTTTTACCAATACGTGATAAAAGGTTTTTGCATAATATGATGATTGATGTGTGGGTCATTGGAGACAGCATATATGGTGGGGTTATTGAGGGGTCTGAGCAGGCATCCAGGGGCACAGGAATGCAATCACATCATCATCATCATCATCATAAATCCATCTAATAGCCAATCTTGGTATAGATATGTGGGGCCTCTGGTCACTTAAGCACACTTAAGCGAGCACATGATGGACAGTACACAGAGGAACTTTCCTTGCAAATGTTTTCCACCACCACCCCTTACATCCGCCAGTTATAGTGCTCCAAGGTTTCAAGAGACTATATCCATTACAAGGATTAAAATGTTCGCAATTTTTAGGATACAGACAGCCTGCTCCTCATATTTATGGGGCAAATGAAACCATTCAATCCCTTGTTTTTCTAATTTGATACTTGCCGTAGCGCTCTCAAGTGTCACGAGGCTATGACGTGGGAAGTTATTTTTTGTAATTCAAGTATGATTTACATTTGTTGTTATTATTGCCACATATCTCATGTTCATGTATTTCATTTATTGTCAAGCATATTGTGTATGTCGTGGCTTTGAGTCTCCGCTGTTGCCCACTACGGTTTGGTGTTGCCGTTATTAATATAACCATAACAATTGATAAGTCGACCGGTTTTCCCTATCATTGGCAATGTGGCTATAAAACACCGTGATTTGTGCGTCGCCAGAATTTTTTTGCAGAGGGGCAAAACATTTTTCTCCCCGAAATACCTGGATTTTTCCAGCATATTCACGATTTATCATTTTTCGAGGGTGGGCATTTTTCAAACAATATTACTTCGCGCCCCTTTTTCTGTCTTCTTCCCCCATCTTTTTTTTTTTTTTTTTTTTTTTTTGGGGGGGGGGGGGCTTTTCCGGGGGGGGGGGGGAGCGCTCCCGTGCTCCCCCCCTTGTGACGCCCATGGGTGATGGTCTTTCACGATCGGTGATCAACCTTGCATGGACTTTTGCTATCGGTGCAGAGTGTTTTTTTTATATTATCAAAGTAAGTGGGTGAAAATATCCCAGCCACCCCCCCCCCCCCAAAAAAAAAAACCCACTTTCTTCAACTTAAATATGCTGTGATTTCTGGGCGACGGAGGCTGCCGGCGTCATGGGCAGACTAAGCTTTGTTTAGGTTATCGGTACATAGGTAACTGTTGCGGTTGTACTCCTATTGGAAAATTTTAGTGTGTTTTTATTTATACATTATTCAATATTTTCCTTTGATAACTCCGATGTTTAAAAAGACTGTGCACACCGGTGAATAAGTTATTATTCATTAGTTAAAGAATAATGTAACCAATTGGGTTAAATAGCGAATGTCTGTTCTGTTTGTGCACTATACAATTGACAAGGCCACTTAAGACAAGCTCGAAAAGATCTCGGAAGTTGCGGCTCGATTGTAGACCGTTGTAGCCTATACATCATGTACATGATGTAAAGGTATATGTTCTTAAAATTGAAAAGGATTCCATTATTTTGCTGAACGTCAGTTGGTGCATGGAACGCGTTTGCATGTGGAACACCCAATTTGTGAGCCCCCATGTAAAAACGATTGACCTCGATCGTGCCCCAATTCCACGACTGCAAAAAAAAATGGTAGCTGGTAAGTGGAGACCTGAAGCACGTGTTGTTGCGAGGGCTAAAGGGACAAGGTGATTGATTGCCAAAGAAGACATGGCTGGCACAAACCATAAAGCTAGCTCTATTTCCCACAGTGGTCTTAGCAGATTGAGTACCATGCTGCATTACATAAATGTACACATCGAATCATTGCTATTTGAAAAAACAATGATAATATTTTCTAATCTTAAAAATGATTAAATTCTAAATTTAATTCTTATCAAACACACACACCATGGTTCGAAAATTACATCGGTTACGCGGAAGTAAAATTTATCATATTTTCGCGAAAGGTATTAAAAAAACAGAAGAGCAAAATAAAGGCTCTGCGCATTTGCAATTAAATTTAAATTGCTCCAGAGCAAGGAACATAGATAAGTATAATACGTGCAAATGATTACGACGCAACACACAGATGCGACGGTCGCGAAAGTCCATCACCGTTTCGGTGATCACATTAAATGCCTCTTTGGCGTTCCTGTTTCGCCAAAAGCGGCATTTAATCGGTGATGGACTTTCGCGATCGGTGATGGTCTTTCGCGATCGGTGATCAAAGCTGCGATGACCAGTCGTTGAGTAAAAGTCCATCACCGATTGCGAAAGTCCATCACCGATCGTTAATATGCATCACCAGTAAAAGTCCATCACCGATTGCGAAAGTCCATCACCGATCGTGAATAAGCATCACCAGTAAAAGTCCATCACCGATTGCGAAAGTCCATCACCGATCGTGAATATGCATCACCAGTAAAAGTCCATCACCGATCGCGAAAGTCCATCACCGATCGTGAATATGCATCACCAGTAAAAGTCCATCACCGATCGCGAAAGCCCATCACCGATCGTGAATATGCATCACCGATTGCAAAAGTCCATCACCGATTCGATGATCACATTAAATGCCTCTTTGGCGTTCCATAAACTTCTAACTCCAAAGTTTCAATTTTCAAATCGCTCGATGTGTTTAAAAAATCTGATGTGTTTAGAAAAAGTATCCATGTATATAAAAAATATCTACACACACAAATGTAGATTCATTCATTAGAATATGACATCTAAAAACATCATTGCTCCACTGCCTTTAAAACAAAAGAAGGAACATTCAATATTTGGAAAAAAAACCAGTCTTGCACACAAATGGCCAACTTCTAACTCTGAAATTTCAATTTTCAAATTGCTTGATGTGTTTGGAAAATCCGATGTGTTTAGAAAAAGTATCTATGTATATGAAAAATATATATACAAACGAATGTAGATTCATTCATTAGAATATGACATCTAAAAACATCATTGCTCCACTGCCCTTTAAAAAAAAAAAAAGGAACATTAAATATTTGAAAAAAACCCAAAGTTTTGCACGCAAATGGCTAGGCAGACAAACATGGCTACACCACAAAAGGATACAGCCTTTGACTTCCTCCGGTTCACTGTTGAAATCCCAGGTCAGCTTTGTCGCAGCTTGGTACAGGCTCACATTATACCTGGATAAAACGCAAAATGAAAAAAAAATCGATTGCACTTCATACACATATTTTTAGTCGTCCCGAATAACAAATTCATCTTCAAGCAAACTTGAACACGCAGTACAGTTGGAACAAGCACGCTTTACACGAACATTTCAGCAGTTTAAAGCATGCAGCTGGAATGTTGCTCGCATCTTGGAATAGCGCAATACGCAGGGTGCGATATGGACCATGCAATACAGTATAATATCACACTGTTGTTGCCATGGATCAACCAATCAGAGTCGAGGATACAAGTTAACTTGAAGATAAAACAACATATTCATATCTGAAGGGTATTTTTTGTTTTGTTTTGTATTTTTTTTCTTCAGGAATAGGGAGGAACCACAAACAACTTTGTTCCTGCATTCCAAAATGTGTGGCTTCAAGATCCTCACCTATTAACTAAAAGTGACACATTGTACACATATACCATGTGAAAATACGTTTATTCAAAGCATTCAGGCGATCCACTGTCCAAAAAGGACAAAGAGAATGAGGGATATGACAGACATTTTAACACAATCCCAATTGTGAACCCCAGCAAAGATGAGGCACGGTTGTGCGCAATCAGACAAAATTAAATGTAGCACAGTAGCAGTGTATATTCCATGCCACACGTGAGCAAACCTGTTTGTGCACAGAGTTCCACGAGGCAAGTTATTCCCTCAGCAGTGTTAAACAAGAAACTGACCGAATTATTAAAACCACAAGACTCCAGGAACAAGCAACAAAACCTCTAAGGCAATTCTAGTCACCTTACGTGCATGTTGAAAAATTAAGTTTCCAGTGATTTGAGATTCCCGACTAGAAACCCAGTTTTTTGTTCTACCCAACCTTTCTTCAAACCTGTGTTGTAAAATATTCACCGATACGACATTTTACAATGCAAAAACTACCAAGTGAGAAAAGTTGTGTTCCCTGTGCTATTTTCGAGTTTCATCCCAAAAAACGAATTTTTTTGTGTAAATTGCTATTTTTCAAGCAATACAAAAAGTATTCACTTTTGAATGAGACATCGCCCAAAGAAAAACGGCCTACGTCTAGTGATCGAATTATTACTTTACAATTTCGAATGTTTTTGTGGCCAGACAATCATTCCGTTCTTGCGGGGTAGGCTGGTTCCCGCCCCACAATCAGTATCGATAATATACAGACCGGGATCCAGTCTGCTCGCAAAGCAGATCTGTTTGTCCCCCAAAACAAACCTTGTTTTCAGAGGTTGCAGACATCCAATAAAGGTGAAGAGGGGGTTTTGGTTGGAAGAAAACATACAAGTTGAACATTTATCATTTAAAAAAAAAACAACCCAAAATCGAGTTTGTTGAAGAGTACGGAGAACGCAACTTTAATTAAACTTGTCTAATAAACTATAAAGGGATGTTTCAGTACTGAAACTCTTGACTGTGAGGGGGGGGGGGCGGAGACTAACCTGGTTTTAGGGAGGACTTCGGTTGTCTGTTCCTTAACACTACCCCGGTGAGTCTCTAGTTTCACTTGCAGATCTGCCAAGTGATCCAACTCCCTCTGGACAGCTGTACATGACTATAGTTAAGACAAATCATTCAAGATGGCCTACATTTATGCTTATGTTAATTTTGACGAGAAATAGGTACACAATATGTATGGATAATTTTGCAACAGAAACACAATCTTTCTTGGCATCCAGTAAAGTTTTACTTACTCTCGTCTATAATTAAATTGAAACAGTTCTATAATATTGGCTTCAAGCATTTAACAAAAACATGAACCGGACAAAAAGTTGTACAGAACCTGTAGTCCAGAAATAATTGTTTCCAGCAACATGAGAGGTTGGGTCAAAAAATATAATTCAAATCTTCCAAAGATCGTACCAGCCTACGGCATATCACCGAAAGTGCTAAAGGTGTGTACAAGCATTACATTCACTGTGTGGACTTCCGAACAAAAGATGTCCACATAAACCAGGTAGCAGCGACATTGTGTGGACTTGCCCACGTCCACACAAGGTTTCCCCCTCTCTGGAAAACAGGTTAAGAGGCTTTAAGGGGATAGGTTTATCCGTTGCAAAATGAAGAGAAACACTCAAGGGAATCATAGTAACAAATTTGGATTGAAAGAGTTTTCACAGTGTGAGTAAAAGGAGTTTTTTTTCACAGGTTTTTCTTAACTGCACGAAAACAAAGGAATGTCCACACTAGGTATGTAACGTTAAAAAAAGGTGTACATGTTATCCTATATGACTGAGGACTTGGGACAATGGGGTGGGTGAGATAACAACGGGGCCGACGCTGCCCGAGGACCTGGGCACTAGTCCTCGAGAAGATTTTGTGTAATAACCTAATGGGAGCTGACGAGAAAAAGTTAGGGTACAAAGAAAAGGGAACAAAAGAAGAAAAGGGCAGGTCCTCATGAGTATAGTAAAACATGACTGGGTGTGTGTATGTCTGTGTTTTCATGAGTTGTCATGAGTTATCGTTCACAACTTGCGGGTTGATCAACCGCGAAGCAGGCGAGGTGTAGCGGGCGAGGTGAAGCCTCGTAACCACACAAACACTGTAAGAAGCATCGATAAAGAGTTGCTTGCAGCTGCACCATGTTACAAGAAATCTCTTTTGTGATTTTATGTGGTTCTGATCCTAGTTCTGAGAAGAATCGTTGGGAAACTCGACATTTCAGACGCTCTGCTCTGCCCATCAATATAATCGATTTTAATATGAGCTGGTATGTTTAAGGATATTGAACCTCCTGTTGGAACGAGATGAGTTTCTCTCGGCTCTTGGCTTTGTCGCTTTGGACCTCGGCTATCTCGGGAGACATTGCATCTTGGGATTGGTCACGCGACACGCAGGCTGCTTTTTGGTCCTTCATCTCCAAGTATCCTATTACAAAATGAAGAAGAATGGTCATCATTTACAAATAATTCACTCAAACGGAAATACTAAAACAGTGGTGGCACATGGGTTTTGGTATTGTGGTTCATTAGTTGTATTGTTGGGGCAAATTTGACAACAAAAGGTACGATTATGTTTGGTTCAAAATTATTAATTATTGCTCCTGTAACAATTTCCCTTTTAATCCATCCTGAAGTTGCAATAATGATGTCGAGAAAACAAATTTAAACACAAAAACTGTTCAGACAAAATGAACTTGCACAAATGATTGTTGCATGCTACATGCACTGTGCCAAATTCCTTCTCTAGCTTTGAATGCACTTACACTACATAATTTGACAGAGCTCATCTATTTTTGTTTGGATAAACTTGATAAACATAACCATGCATGTACGAAACAGCGGTTCAGAGCTTTGGTTGTGTCTCTTGTCAGTATGTACGGTGTACCCACGTAATTGTAATCATTGACAACCTACCACTATTGGGTTATGCCTGTATACTTAAGTGTGTCCCAAGTGATTGTGAGAAAAAAATTCACAAACTACACGGGTGGGGCTCAGACCCAAGACCTCCTCCTTACTAGTGCAGACATCTTACTGGAATTTGCATCATTCTACTGAATGTCAGACAAGTCGACCGTTGAGACAACTCGACTCGGGACAAGTCGACCGTTGAGACAACTCGACCGTTGAGACAGGTCGACCGTTGAGACAACTCGACTCGGGACACCTCGACCGTTGAGACTGCTCGACTTAATGGAAATGAATACCCGTGGAGCAGAAAAAGTTGCACAAATCTGTGGCAAGACCGATCACGGGTGCGGCGCGGGCATACTCGATGTACAGAGGGCGTCGCGTGGGGCCGGTGCGCCCCGCCCGCCCGCAAGGACTGGGCCGGGCCCGGCATGCGGGCACGTCGACCGGCGCGGCAAATGGGCGCACAGGCCCGGCACAAACGATGTCACCGTGCACGGTACGGCCACGTTGACCTACCGGGGATGAGATAAGTGGGCGCACAGGGCTGGCAAAAACGATGTCACCGTGCACGGTACGGACAAGTTGACCGGCAAAAGGGCGCACAGGCCCGGCAAAAACGATGCCACCGTGCACGGTACGGCCACGTTGACCGGGGATGCGTGCACGTGGCCTTGAAAAAAAACAACGATGTGCACGGGTACGGACAATCACGCTGCGCTATATCGGCTCTGTTATAGCTCCATGGTTATATGCAACAACAAAAAAGTCGTGTGTCATCACTCCCAAACGGCGATCAGCCGCCGTCAAAATCCCCGGTACTATTCCCGAAAGGCCGAAACTAGGCCCAAATCATGCGAGGCGACTTGTCTCAATGGTCGACTTGTCTTTCCATTTATCGCACATACGGTCGAGTTGTCTCAACGGTCGAGTTGTCTCAACGGTCGACTTGTCCCGAGTCGAGTTGTCTCAACGGTCGACTTGTCCGCCCCCCATTCTACTGACAACTCCAAATTGGATTAAAATCTTCCCTGGATGTTTCTAAAACATATTTACCTCGGATGATGTCTTTCAATGTCTCTTTCTGTTCCGTCTCAATCTGTTTCATCTCTTGTATTGTCTCTCCATACTGCGTCAGTTTCTTGGCGCTGGACTGATCTTCCAGACATCTGCTGATCTCCTGTGTAGCTTGGAGGACTTTCCGATCCTCAATCAACGTGATGACCTCCGAGAGGTTAGATGAAGCCATTGTCTTTTATTTTAAGAAAAACTGCAAATAAATAATTGTTTTTATTTGGGGGTTTTGGTAGTGTCTTTTATTGCAATGGCTATTTTTGCGGAAGCCATAACCCGCTTTTAAACGTTAGAGTTACAGAACTGCAATATAACGTTGCAAATTTAAAAGACTTTTTAAGAGATTTTGAATTCCTATAGGCCTCATGATTGAAGAGCTTTGATAGTTCAAAAGGATAGATGTGCATTCGGGGTGCTGAGTGAGACTAGGTAGAGAAACTGGAAGCAGAACTATTTTTGTTTGCCTTACCCCTACTAGAAGTAGAACTAGTGAACTACATCATGACATAATTATGGGGCTCCGTGCAGAGCCCCAGGCATAGTTCTAGGGGTAATCTTGAATGCTGTAATCTATTCCTTCTTCCATTGTACCGGTATAGCCATTGAAAATTAATGGGGGGGGGGCGTTGTCGCCCCCCCCCCCCCCCACTGAGATTTTGTGTTTCTAAAAGAATTATCATTGATCTACATGACGCCCCCCCCCCCCCCCATGAAATGTTCCAGCCCCCCCCTCTCCCAGCGCCCCCCACTGAAAAATTCCTGGCTACGCCACTGATTGAGTAGCCTTGACCAAGGCTATCAGCTTGTTCCCATATGAGCTTGTTCCCGCTACCGCACACGGCGCGCGCAGCAACACAATGTTGTACTATACCGTTAGCCCCAACGACCCTTGCGTGTGCTTTGTGTGCATGTATGTATGTACGCCCCACACTCACTTCCACAAACAGCCGTACAGTAAGTCGAGGCAGAAGATAGCCTTGACGCAACCGTGTATGCTGAATATAATTAGTTCGCGTTATGGTAAATAGTCTTCTCTCATTGGATAACGGCTGACAAAAATATGAATATTTATTAAATTGCATAATACGACCAAAGGTTTATAAACCAGACGGCCTGTGGTAACAATAATTATTGTAAAACACCCCCTTAAAATCTTAAATAATAGTAGAATAATATTTATAAAGTTACACATAGTTTGGGTCGAAAATGAAATGAAAAGGATGAAAAATTAGACCTTCAAAAAACGGCAAACGGTACAAAACTGCACGCCGGCAAAAACGATGTCACCATGCACAGAGGCCACGTTGGGGCCGTCCACTGTAGGCACCGGCCCGGCTGGCGCCATGCAGTGAGACACGCTGCGCTTTCACGTTCAGCGGCCAAAAAAGCGCTCACACTATTGAGTATGTATCTACTGCTGACTTTTTTTGGGGGGAGGGGTATCTCTCCTTCAGCAAACTTATTCTGTAAGACTGATTTTAACTTGTATGAACAACTTATAAGTTATATGTCGTATGTACGACTAATATATCGACAGGGTACGACATATTTCGACAGGGTACGACTAATATCATCGACAGGTTACGACATTTATGTCGACAGGGTATGACATATCAAACATATGACATAATGTCGACAGGTGCCGGTACAACATATATGTCGTGCATAAGTCGAGTCGACAGGGTACGATATATGTCGCATACGACAAAGTCGTATATATAAGTATGACTTAATATCTCGTGTGTACAAAATGTGAATTGTAACTCGTATGTTCGACTTGTTTGTCGATTATGTCGTACATACAACATATCTTGTGAGAACGACTGGTATCTCGTACGATTTACATCTACGACTTACATATCGTACGTATGTCGTAGGTACGACATACGATTCATACGTACGCGTTAAAATACATGTGTCGTACGTATGAGATGTACATGTATGTTGCACATGGTACGAATTCAGGGAGAGTTTTTTTTTTCACCATGTACCTGACAGTTTCGTATATTTCCATCCCAAAGTCAATAGCTCGTTTCTTGCACTTAATTCATACGGGTGCTTATAGATACGAGTTAACCTGCATTCGATTAAATGGGTACAATTTGACCTGGGTCCGAGTTGACCTATTCCCTACATTCGCTGTCCGGCAGAATAGCACGGGCAGGTAGCGGCGTGATAATGTGCGCTGTTGCACCGACAAAATGTCGGCGGACGGTCTTGAACTGTCCAATTCGCAATACATTGGAAATATATCATTTTGAACAATTGTTCACTCATATAGCGGCATATTTTATTTGTTTGTAATAAAACTGGAGAAATGGTTTGAGTGAACATACATGTACGCGGTGTATACAGTAATTTGCGGGTCATGAATATGTATATCGCGGGTCAAAGTTTACGGGCTTTGATTGGATATCGTGTAATATATGCGCATCAGAAATTTTCGGCCGATTTCGGTCGAAACTATAAAGAAACACATAAGAATTCGCCACGGTTGCGTCAAGGCTATCTTCCGCCTCGACTTGCTGTACGTACGGCTGTTTGCGGAAGTGTGTGTGGGGCGTACGTACATGCACACAAAGCACACGCAAGGGTCGTCGAGGCTAACGGTATAGTACAACTAGTGATTGTGTCGCGGCGCGCGCGGTGTGCGGTAGCGGGAACAAGTTCGTATGGGAACAAGTGATAGCCTTGGTCAAGGCTACTGATTGAGACGATATTTTTTATTAGCCCCACTAGTGTGGCCGTCGGTATGCTGCGCTTAGGTTCAGCGCAGCATACCGACGGCCACACTAGTGGGGCTAATTTTTTATATGAACAAAAAAGTGGCACAGAAAATTTTCTTCGATCCGTACTACTAGTCGTAGAATCCTAGTTAAGTCATGTAAGTCGGACTACCCTAGACTTTGTCATGTTTGTACACAACCGCTGAAGTGGCATCAAGTTGCAACATTCTCTCCGAAAACCTACCTCTTTTTTTAACCTGTTGAAATTCCTTGGAAAACACACCGATTTTGCAATCAAAAATCGTATTCGTAACGTACACTTTTTCAAACGAACCGCGCCATCTTTTGCCTTCCCCTATGGCTAGAGGCTGAGCACAGGTGGGAATTTTGATAATGTGGGATTCGCGATGCAAACTGAACGCCTTTCAAAAATATAATTCCTACTTATGTATGAAACACCCGACAATAGCGCCCTCTTGGGATGCTTTACAATTTGTATACATGGATGTGTACAGGCTGTGTGGAGGACTGCTCGCACCCATCGCTCTCAAATCAAACGGGGTTTGGTTTCAGGCCATTGTAGGGGGGTACAGGCCAATGCTTATAATATGCCATATCACATTCCTCGGCTTAAAGCATTTTGTGGGCCATGAACTTGTGGGTTTGTAAAAAAAGAAGGGTGGATTGCAGTATAGGAGGACTGCAAGCTCGTATTTGTGAAACTTCGGCCCACAATAATTTTGCTCTATTTTTGGCGCAGGTATCATTGTTTTTAATGGCGACGGGCTGCGGGAGGACTACTTTTAGGGGTGACTATTTTTGGATGGAAGTTTCTCCCCCCCCCCCCCCCAAAAAAAAAATAGAAGCTGAAAATAAAAGATGATGAAATAAACTTTGAGTTTTATGTGTGTCTCTCAACTTGAACACCATGTTTGGAGAGTTTTGAGTAGTTTTCCTGAATTTTGGAAGTGGGCGTATTTAGCACTGGGGTCTATGACACTTTATTTGCTGGTCTTAAACCAACCGCAGGCCGAGGTCATCTTGTTGGTTTACAGCCAGTTTTTTTTAATTAATGTAATTCAAATTGGCTTCAACTTGAGGAGTTTTCCAAAACTCTTTAAAACAAAGCTCTTTTCTTTGACTATTTTTTGTACGCTAAACAGACCTATAATATTCTCTGACAAAAAATAGTGTCGCGGGGAGGGACTTTTTGTCGGTGTACCTAAAATAAAGCGCCCCCAAGCATCAAATGATCCCCTATATAGCGCAGGCAGTATAGAATGACGTCATTTCAGTCACGTATAGCTAAGACCATTGCATATTAACACTTCGAAATCCGACAAATTCCGTAGTGTGGTGATTATCATGTGCACCTATACGCGTAAGGTCCCTGGTTCGAGCCCAGGCGGAATCATTTTTTTTCTTTCTTCTAAACAGCACAAGGAAATCATTATCTCTGGACGTACAGACCCGAGATATGTACTGGGCGTATTCGAATCTCCGTTCTCGAGTGACTCACGAACGGTGTTCTCGGGTTGCCCATATGTGAACGTGCGTGTGGACGGCGCAGCTGGGCGAAAAATCAAGATGACAGCCGTTATATTAAAAAAAAAACCGAAAGAAAAGAAGGGAAAACTTATTATCTTACAAAAGTAATTTAAATCCATAAATGGACATCACTAATTTTTAAGCCATCAGAAAACGATTAACATATCCTATAAGTCAAATTTAGCGGAGAAAATACTGAAGCACTAGCTGAAACAAATCATTAAACACTTTGAATTTTTCAGACCAGTCTCATACGGTTTGTGCACAGGGTGTCACTGTGTCAAGTGATGTCCACGTATATCGTAAATCTGACAAGTCCACTCTGTGATCATGTACAATGATACCTAAAGACATGCCTGTATGGGGGTCTACCCGATGTTCCCCAATACTTTGTTCCCAAAAATCCTTAGGGTTAGGGTTATAGGGTTGGGGAACATATAGGGATTGGGAAACCATCGGTGAACATAGGTATGCACCCCCTGTATGTAGTCATTACAAAAACATTGGGATGAGGGTGCATGCAATGCCATGTCACTGACATGGCACCGCATGCACCCGTCACCCCGAGGATGTCACATTTTAGGGACGTCACAACGCAAAAAAAAACTGCTGTTGGCAGAAAATCCCATCTCAAACTAGTGCATCATTTCAGGTGGTCGACATCTGTTAACGTTGCCAACTTCTTTTGTTCTCTACGATTTGTTTCCTCCTGTGAACGATAGCGTTTCTATAGACCTTTCTTTCGTTTGTACTTTGAGCGCCATTTTGTATGGGCTGCTACATCACACAAAAAGACATAAATTTAAGCCGTGGTTGGCAACGGTTTTAACACCAAGAAATGCATATTAACACCTTTATTACGTAAGACAGCGTTTGCTGGTTATTTTGTATTGATAAAAAATTAATGATTATGTTTTAAACGTTAATAACAATTCTTTATTTTTGCAACATTGACCTCCGTAGTTTGCCAACCCGTGGTTGGTCAAAAATTGCCAACCGGCCTGTTGGCAAAGAAAGGTGATCGTTTTATAAGGTCTTCCGAATTGTGGTACCGCATATCATATAAAATATACATGCAACATTTACAACATTTCAAAATATACATTTACAACATTTCTGTGTAATTCATAATAATGACTAAAGTAAGTAGATTGCTTACATTTTCTGTACCAATATACCAATATAATAATGGTACATTTCGTATGACCATGCACCAATACACTCTAAAAAGACCCCAGTCACTGAGATTCGACACGAAATCCGGATTCTATTGGTCATGATACTTTTCCGGGTCAAAACGACACTTCTCTGGGTCAAAATGACCCGGAAAATTAGAAGAAGTGTCAATTCGGCCCAGAAAAGTGTCACGCCCAATAGTACCCGGATGCCGGGTCAAATTTGGCCCATGATTTATTTCAGAGTGTATAAGGGTCGGATGCGGTAGGCCCAGCTAAGGACCGTCGGAGGACCCACGAAACACGAAAGCTCAGCTGTGTAAACGAATCCAGCTGCTACTGTTGTCGAAAATAATTTCATCTTTGAAATGATTTGTTTAATCAACCTGCATTTTCAAAACTTTAATCCGCCATATGCGTAACAATGCAGATGGAATTTATAAAAATATTATGGACATCATAAAAGCTACCGGTGCAGTCATGATTACATGCACACACTTTAATTGTCCGATCGTTGAATATAATGTTACCAAGAACCATGTCAAGAACCAGCTCGCCTTATGGAAAGTAAGATGATGACGAAAAGTAGGAAAAAGGCACAAGAAAGCGCTAAAAGCAACGGCTCTTCGTAACTGTCAGAATCTCCCGCAAAATCTTTGACATTCACGAGCCACATGTCCAATTCTTTGAACTTCTGCAATTTGAGGGGATGTCCGCGAATACTAGCGGCATGCATAACCACCGTCGGATGGTTTTGTTTTTGCCACGATGGGTTGAAAAACGCAGCTCCCCACGGAAACAGGTCCGGGTCTAGCATCTTAATATTCATATGCACTGGTTTATCATCTTTCAGTAGATTGTTCATGACTGTTTGATCCGGGTAGAGCAATCCCCATTTCTTGTAGTCTTCCATGACTTTCACCCAGGTCCTCACAAACTGGACCGTGGCAATAGTCGGCTTCAGATATATGAACCCAGCACAGAACTCAATTTCATTGATTCTTCGCGTCTGGTTATGCGGCCGTGAGCCTCTAATGAACATGTCATAGTTTCCTTCAAAGTAGGGAAAAGGATCCCGGAACCAAAAGGTGTCGGAGTCGGTAAACAAAACTTCCAGACCCCGCTCCAGAAGAGACAGAATATACGCCTGGCGTTTGTTCATTATCCCGAAGTACTGAGCGTTACCCCGTCTGGACTCCATGGCGTCCATTTCGCCAGAGCTGGTCCTCAGTACGTTCACTGCTGGGTCGCCTTTGGTATACTTCTGCAGTTCGTCGTAAGCCATCCCATCCTCTGCGATGACCGTGGTGTCGACGCATACTCCAACCTTTCTGACGCTTGCGAGCATGTTGAGAACAAAATCCACGAAGGCCAGATTTGCCGTGGTCAGCATAACCACGCCTGGTTTCTTCCGGATGATGCAATCGGGCACTGGTCCGTGGTTCGTGAAAGGTAGGCCTACGTCATCAGTAACTGCGCCAAATTGCTCCCCAGTGTTTTTTTCCGTGGAGTTCCAACCACGAAATATCATGTGTTCTGGAAGTAATGGGAGGACAGTTTGAGAAAAACCTGCAAATGTATATGGATTGGAAATCATTATTCATTTCACTAAGAGGAACAAGCAGTGACGTAAATGGGTCAGTGATGCCCCCAAATCCTGAAACTTTCCCAGACGTTGCAAATACCAAACGCAATGGGGGGGGGGGGGGTACCTTTCAAATATATGCCCTTGGCCGCCAGCGTATTAAGCAAAATTTGATGAATAGCCTCCAATCCGATACCAGACTTTGAGAAATTGATATTACTACCATTCGCATAGAAATATACTTTCCCGTTTAACTTTTTTAGCCAATGGAATAATGTTTTCGTTTGATGCGCCTAATTAAACTTTTAAAGTCAATAGAAGATCATAAACAATCCGCCATTGCGCTCAAAATCGAAGAGGGGACCAAAGGAATGAAAAAAAAGATTTTTTTTTATTTTTCCATCTTAAGTGTCAATTACTGTATTGCTCTATTTTCGTTTTGATGGCACGAAAAGATTTTAGATACAATTCCCAAATTGCGCTGTTTCTATTGCGCAAACCTCCATTGACAAGAGTAATTTCACCAGCGAAAGAGTCAACCCAGCGAACTTTTGTATTTTCGCCCTTGAGGGGGCAGCTGTACTTACGCAAGGAATCTGTGATGGTAAGCCGTAGCCGATGAAAGTCGTGACTAAATGACTTGGCTGGCAGTAACTTAGGCCAAGTTCGCGCAAGGACTATAGTTGACCAATGGTTAACTAACGTTTGCCCGAACTCTGTCTAGTCGACGGTGGTTGACTACGCTAGTCGACTATTTGGAACCAGCCTATGGGGGTTGGTTGCTTCGCTGGTAACCTATAGCCGCGCGCATTTATAACGCTAGCAGAGAGCCATGATCCAGAAATTTTGCGATGACATTTTGACCAGCGTTGACTAGAGACGTTCGCACGTTGCTATTAGTGCGCAGGCGTAAGGTACGTCACAAATCAACCACTAGTCGACTAATGGTCCTTGCCCGAACTTGGCCAATGATTTAACGCAGATGATGAGTCTAGATTTGTTTAAAGCGTTTCACTGAATAAACCAACCGGGCTTACCGATAAACACGATGACGACAAAAGTCAGCCCAAGGAAGAGGATCTTACAGACTTTGGCGAGTTTCATTCTCTCTGTATTGATAGAATGAAAACAAAATGAGTTTAGTGAAATTCAAAATAACGCTCAACTCTCACGTTTCGACCTTCCTTTAATTATATGAACGCCTTTAGTCTAGCTACCGACTCCTTTCTTTGTTCTTTCCCATAAACAATTATGTTACTGATTCAAAATAAACCGGCGATGTTCTTCAATGAACTTTTTTTTCTTCCAACAAACTGTTAATATTCTTTTCTGTTTGCCTTTAGCAATGTTAGTGATCAATGGACCGAAAGCTGATGTTATTCTCCCGGCACTTGATATGCTATTCAAAATATTCTGTCGATTCTCTTCATTAAAACTTTTTCTGACAAATTACGTATATTTTCTTTGCGAGAAAAAGTTGGGTTTTTTGTGGCAACTTTCCGTAAAAAAAGGTGCTTTTCATTTAATTCCAGGTCCCCTCAGTTGTGCGCCTCCAACCCACATATGGGCGGGGGTATTGAATTATCGTCGGGCTGGACATTATTTTAAATTTGCAAAGTGATTATTTCATAATAAAACCTGGCTTCTAGCAGTATCCAAACACATACACGTTTAATATAGAATAAGTGTAAAGCCACATGTCATTTCCAGGCCACCATACAAATGTACAGGTTTGACCTTTGTACCCTGCGACAAAATTCGCATTGTGTAGTTCCAATAAAGCAACATACTGATTAATTAGGCCGCATCCGAATCAACAGTCTAGAGCTAGGTCTAGGTCCGCGCCCATTGAAAATACGCGGGGACGCGCTGACAATAGACGTAGCCGTAGCTCTGCAAGCCCGTTTCGGGCACGGCCTAATCCTAACAATCTGTCTCCATCGTCCGATTCAACAGCTTCTCAATCAAAAGTAAATAGCTTTTGTATGCTACAAACATAACAAATAAAAACAAAAAAATCGGGGTGGCACTCGATAATGGCACTTCTTATTTTTAGGCACATTTATCACTTTGGCTCCTGTGTTAATACTACTGTATTACTGTACTACTGTACAAAATTTCGCCCCTATACGGGCGCTTTAGCACGACAATCGATTCTGAGTGTATGATTATTCCTCCATGGTATGATCCACACAACTGTATTATAACTCCAGGTCTAGTTTAGAAAGTCGTGAAGTGCATTTTACATTTTTTCCTTTATGTATTATTTGTGACCTCGACCCACTAGTAGCAGATTGGTCGATGATATAGTACATGTAGTTTAATACAAACCGGCAAGCTGCCTGTAATATTCACGCATGAATAAGCTCATACAGCACTTAACAATACATACAAGTAGTTGGGTACACAAGTGATGACTCATACAGCAACTGCTCGACACACCGGGCCATGTTTTCACAATAGGGCTATAGAAAAAGTAGTCAGCTTTTGTGGAAAACACCGTATTTACAACTGCCGTACGCTAAAACCTACTCCATACTGGGCCACTAAATTTGAGATCCACTTTGTTTTGCCAGTCACTGTTGCATCTGACATCCGTGATTTTATACTTCTGATGCACTCCTTAATGCAGTCGCCTTCCAAGAGTGATATTGAATAGCAAACTACTACCCAACAAATAAACAAATCGTTTGAAGTCATTCCTAAAAATACTTGATTAATTAAAATGAACCAGGTCATACAACAGACGCGCTCAGCTTTCACAGAGATCATTTTCCTTCATGATGCATACACAACATTGGGTGTTTTTTTTTTTTTTACCGATGTTTATTTCCTGAACTCAGTGAACGAATAGTGCCGTATAGGCGCTATTGATAAAATACATCCCTGTGCATGCACGCTGCGTCCAATGTGTAGGGTTCGCTGGGTCATTATAAATTTAGGTTCCAAAGTGTGACATTGTTCCTGTCCCCATTGCCTCGGTATTTTGGAATTTGCCATTCAAGTATCATTTAAAAACGACTTCAAATTATATTTTATTTGTTGGGTCGGTAGCTTCCTCTTCATATTCATTCTTGGAGGACGACTGCATTAAGGAGTGCATCAGACTTATAAAAATCAGCTTTATAAAATCATTTTTATATAAATAAGGACCTTCATGGGCCTCACAGCCCTGCATTTGTAAACAAGGTGATAATTTTTGAAACAGCTTTCTGAAAAATCAGTTTCATGTCACTCAAAACATGCCAATCATGATGTCCTTCACGTGTTCGCATTTTCTATTTGCGTCAATATCAATGGAACGCAGTTCAGCTGTACTATTCCTCCATGGCTAGCTGTACCCACCACCGTAAATAATCAAGCATTCATAATATCCCAATAATCTCGGAGAAACTTTCACTCGCATGAATCATGGTCTTAACTTATTCCAACCGGATTCAAACCTGCATTAGTGAAACAATAAAACAAAATACCTCAAACAGATGCAATTATCGGACGCCCATTTCTCCTGATACTGATCATCGTTTGTACAGTATAGGACGCGGTTTCTACTCTAGTTAGACCGAAGGTTGCTAGCAGCAGCACAAAGTCAACACGGGGCTAGCCTTGGTCAAGGCGCTAGTATAGTTGTTATTCATCCGGCCGCAGCGCGGTACGGTAAGCGATATCCTCGCTAGCGCTATGCATGCAGTGCATTAAAAATACAGCGCGAACAGCGACCTCACGCGGCCACTATTTTTATGCAAATCAGTCGGACAACTGATTTGCATAAATCAGTTGAGGTCGCTGTTCGCGCTGTATTTTTAATGCAACTCATGCATATAGCGCTAGCCAGGATATCGTTTACTGCGCTACGGCCGGATGAATAACAACTAGCGCCTTGACCAAGGCTAACAGAGGGCTCCCTTTTTGCTTCCCAGTATATGGCAACGTTATAGATATCCACCTATGCCAATTTTTCATCGACTATTTAATTTGTTCTCCAAGTGTATCGTTGGGATAATTTTGATTTAAGGGAAAACAAGACTGCGACAGTCTGAGAACCCTAGTGTGGTCCCCACAGTGTGATAAATATTCATGTCGCGGAGTATGTGATTGGTTAAACTTTGTGGGGATTGACGATGTCTGCTCCATGCAGAAAACAAAATTGCGAACCGAAGATGTAAGATGACCCAAAATGTCATCAAACAGTCGTCTATAAATCAGTCACTTCCAAGACAAAACCTTCAGCCAATCGCCTTCTGGGATATCAACCTTGCACCTGCTGGGCATCCGATGACTGGCCACAAATCCCGACAAACAAATCTAGTTTTAAAAAAAAGAGAGAATGACTATATATATTTCACTAATTGATTTTCATCAATTGATTTAAATGTAGATTGGAATATAAAGACAAAGCCTTGAGCATTATTGGTGTCATATCGCGTGAGAAAAAAAGATGATCAAATAAAAGTTATTATCGAATATTACAAATTCCAAAAATAACTTAGGATAATGTTGACATGTGAAGAAAGTAAGAATTTGTGAATGGAAAGTAACTAAAGGTATCCAAAATGAATGAATCAATCAATAAATAAATAAACAATAGCTAACGCTAACTTACACAAAAATAGACTGAAACTTAAAAGTCATACTTGAAATTCAAGACACAGATAAGAAATTTCCTCACGAACCGAATATTGCATTTGTAATATAATTTCATCTCAGATACATACCAAGATATACAAAAGCCATTTAAAGCTATATGGCTGTGCGTTTATCACAATAACTTGTTTTTACCAAAGTTATTTTGAATTTTTGTGTAGTTCCACCCATACAAGACGTCCCCAGCGGTTGCTTGTTTTCTCTAGAAATTTTTGTTTGTGTTTTTCTCCAAGGTGACTCAAAAACAGAGGTTTACCGCAGTAGATCCCCCAGTAAGTCCCCTAGAAAGTGAAAATGACAGTTTGTTTGGCCGCAAGTCAGCCTGTATATCTTAAACCACATTTTGACAGATAAGAGGTACGAAAAATAATTGGTTTCGCTAATAATCACTTGGGGAACAAATTAAGTTGGGAGGCAATAACAAAGTGGGTTTTTTTTCAGTTGAATAAAAACTGCGGTGTTCGTGTGATTCGAGAATGGCCCAGCTCTCTCGTTGATTAAACAAAAGCTCCCAAAAGGATGCATTCTGCTAGAACTTGACACAGATTATGATATGAAGCACCATGATTGGGAACAAGGAACTGTAGCAACAATTCAATTAATATTTCACAAAAGAGATATCGCTAAGAGTATACAGGCTTAAGCTTACAAGATAGTACTTTGAGACAATGAGTCTTATTATACGACTGTTTTATAGTCTGTTTTATGCTATCTGGCAAATCAGCAAACCACAATGCAGCAGGACCTGACAAGCGTAAACCTAATGATAGGACTTTAACATAATCTCGTATTATTGACATAATCACGTAACTTTGCGTAACTATCAAATCTACTCAAAAAGAGATCAAGGTCTTCAGAACCAGAATAGATATCTTTAAAAATTGCGCGGGGGGATAGACTAAAACAACAAAATTATACAAATACATATACCTATAAAGACGGGGTCTACCCGGATGTTCCCCAATACCTATGTTCCCAATACCGATGTTCTCCGAAATCCTTATAGGATTAGGGTTTGGGTATAGGGTAAGGGTTTCGGGGAACATCGGTATTGGGGATTGGGGAGCATAGGTATGCACCCATAAAGACTATCCCCACCAGTGGTTCTGTGCCCCTCACATGTCCCTCAGCATGTTGTGCAGCGGGGTTTCAGGTCCGGATCTTCCACCATAATGTTATGGCCGTGTGGCAGCGCGGTACAGGATAGGGGATCGACACAACAATTCAATTCAATTCAATTCAATTCAAGAAACATTTATTTCTTACTCCTTTAGAAAAATACATCAATAAATAAAAGATATCTGGTACACAGCAAAATAACGAATTCGATAAATATGAACAGATAGACCGCTTATCATAGTATCTCTGCAATTCTAAATCTCACTTACGAATCCACTTGACCGAATAGCTTTCGTTCGACTTGAAATCTCACCTATAGTAGACCGAGGAACAGATAGACAGTTGGAGACAGGTTTGCAGAACAAAACCAACTATCTTTAATTAAAACAAATCAAACAATTTAACAACTTGTTCTAATACAGCTTCGTGGGCCCGAGCAACCCGACGGTACGTTGAGGGACATATATCACCGCGTGCCCGGAGCCCAGTCCTTTTATAACACACAGAGTGATAAGAGTTATATAACATAAAGTATTTTAAGGACAGAGCGAACTCGCATTATGCGAAGCTCGTGGCAAATTAACAAAGGACAAAAATGTGGGCCGGTTCAGGTAGCTTCAAAACATTAATAATCATACAAACACTACATAAATATGAACAAATGTTTTGCCAGGAACAACCACGGCATATGTCTGACCTAATGTTTACAGCAATATGAATAAAACAATATGTCATTCAGCCTGTAACACTAAATCGAACTAATTGGGGAAATCAAAAGTCTACAAAATCTATCCTCATATTACCACTGTATGTGGGTTGTGTGATTGCATACCAAACCTCATCCCGAGCATTCACCGCTTATCATAGTATCTCTGCAATCCTAAATCTCACTTACGAATCCACTTGACCGAATAGTTTTCGTTCGTAGGACTTGAAACCTCACCTAGTAGACCGAGGAGTCTATTACGTTAGGCCAAACTTTTGCTGAACACACCAGCATTTAAAGCTACAGTCCATCATTTGCAGCCATCCAGAAAGTAACTAACGTATCATTGTTGAAAAACATACTTGGTTGAACGATAGTAAGGGAACTACTCCCTCTTTCTGACATGCTGTCATTTTGAAGACATCAACGGAAGAAGGCCTTTCCAACGATGCGTCTAAGATGCATCGTTGCTGTCGGGGGGGGGGGGGGTGGCAATGTTCGAGCTGAGTGGTTGGTATCCAATCAGTATGAATATTCAAGGCTTGTTATACAGGCATGAGATTTTTCAGACTTTTGTCTGAAATCAGACTTTTTTGAATCTGAGATAAAGACATTATCAGTATAGAAAGAATCGCATCTTTCAGACCTTTCATCCAATTTTCAGTTTTTATTTGACAATCTCATCCCTGGTTATAATAAGTAATAACTTGCAATAGCTTTTACTATTTAAATCAAGTTGAAAATGTATTTGTCTCATTCGCTTATTTACAAAAAAAACCATTTTTTGTTTTGATTATACCGCAAAATTTAGAAAGACACTGAGAATGAAAGATCCAAATCCTCGCCAAACGACTAAGTAGGCCTAGAAGTTTACCAATAATTATTTCGAGAAAAAAACACAGAAAAAGACTTTAAAAAGGTTTTTAAAGCTTCGTTATTGCTCGACCCAGGTTGGTGTTGTATTCAAACCACTGAAGCTAGGGTGTCTAACCTATTTAATTACGAAAGCAACAGCAAATCGATTAATCATCTGGACTCGTGCGGTGGTTTCAACCGTACCGTACCGCTGAAGTTGGCCGCAAATCAGACACGCACGCGGGGTGTCTGTCACGTGGCCGTAAACCACACCGCGTACCGTGCCCTAACTTCACAAGTGCCATATAGCAGATCCACTGGGGATACGCTGGTGTGTGACCTTGTAGCTAATTATTTGTGTCAATGACAATGACTGTATATTATCTGTATGAACCATGAATGGATTTCCGATTGGTATCAATCATTAGCTGAGGATCACGTAGTCTTATGGCTATCGTGGCCTTGTGTGTATTTTGTGGAGACTGTGGCGCCGTTTAATGCTCCTGAGCTGTAGTGCCCCGTCTGTCATGGCCGAAAATGTTTGGGTCATTTGGGGATGATTTTGAATCATTCGCTCATGTGGAGATGAATTTGAATCATCTCCTCAAATGACCCATGCATTTTCAGTAAGAAAGGTAGGGGTCCTCCTCAGGGGCAGATCTAGCTTTTTGAAAAGGGAGGGGGGGTGATAATGAAGGGGGTGAATATCAGTAATGCCGATATTTGTTATCTGCGGTTCGAAACGTCACTTCTTTACGGCGAGGAGGGATTATGACGTGAAGAACTGGCATATTTTCAATTGTTTGAGCCAACATTTTCATGAAACTGCGAAATTCTAGGCAATTCAAGCTGCCACAAAAGTGGATGTGTTTTTATTTTCTTAGTTGGTTGAGGTCAATGCCTGAGTATTCTGTATTTTGTTTTCAGCTATTATTACACGGCCTTCGTTCACCAAACAAACGCCTTTTCCCTTGAACTCGTGGATATCCAGGAAACTGCATATTGCAAATGTTGCAAGGTTTTTTGTTTGTGGAGGAAAGCAACGTGCACTAGCAGCGATGCATCCGGCCCGATACCGGGGACAGGTTGGTTTAGACTACAGGACACCGTCCGAGGGGTCGCTGACCGTGATACCAGGCCAGACTCCGCTGCGTGGTACGGGAAGACTCATCCGCAGTCGTGGTGATTGAGAGAATGTACGAACTAGAACTGCGGGAGATGGGAGTGGGACAGTTCGCCGCTAGAGGAAGGTGTGAGTAGGTGGGTGAGGCCCAGTTTCATTGTCGAATCCACAACAATAAATTAAGTCCTCACAAGCCAAGCCGCCCAGTCCGAAGCCAAGTCACAAGC